GTGTATGTGTAAGAGCTGCACCAAAAGTCTGAACTTTCTTTAACCTCGTGTCAAAATCACATTCACTGCGTTGCATATACAATTAGTCTGTGACGACTGAGAAGGCATCTAGTTCGTTGATCTTCGTCTGCAACTAAAAATAAATTTTCTAATAAGACAAGCAATCACAAATAAATAAAAAAAAATAAAAATAAAAGCACTCCTTCCCCGAGAAGCAAAACAAAAAGCCAAAAAAAAAAAAAAAAAAAACGAAAAGAAGAAGAAGAAGAAGAAGAAGAAGAAGAAGCATTTTGAGAGTGATTTAGGTAAATTAGAAATAGATTTGTCTTATATTCTTTAACTTTAACATTAATAACAGAGATGGCTGACAACTCAGTAATATATTGACCGTGAATTTCCCGTTTCTTCATAGTAACATTGTTGCTTATAAAACTTAATGTTCAACTCTTGTTGCTGACTTTATATTAACAGAGCTCGTCGGAATATCATGGGTTTCAAAATAGTAATGATATACGTATATTTTCAAAATATATAGATATTAAAAAAAATATCTTGTTCATATCGTTCGCTGTATATAATTTTTAAAAGTTTTTTTCCTACTAAAAAATTGCATACGGCATTGATGTCTCCTCCACAGACTTAGACCAGAGGCCATGGTCCCAGACGCACACGTGTGTAATACTCTTCGCTCATTCAGTATATTAATTATCTCCTGTCTGGAATCGACCGCTATAAGTTTCCATCCGAGAATAGAAGGTAGACAATTAGGAAAAATCCAATATAGATAAACGGCGTCTTCTTCCAACAAAAAGATAGATGAACAACAACGAATTATTCTCAAAGTCCCTGTCTGCGCGAACTAAGGGTTCGCGTTGTCATAAACAGATTTACTGATGGTTACTAGAAAGTCCCGTCTAACCAAAGAAAGTGCAATACTGTAGTGTATGTGGCGGCATTTTAGTCTATATCTTCAAAATCTAATATCAATAAATCACAATAAATCAAATTATCGATATAAATAAATATTTATCAATATTACTTAATCGAATTATCAGTATCATTAATTCATTCAGTTTTATCACTCATTCGAATTATTGATAGCATTAAATAGTCCTAATTATTGAAATCATTAAATAGTCCTAATCATCGATATAATTAAATAGTCCTAATTATCGATATCATTAAATAGTCCTAATTATCGATATCATTAAATAGTCCTAATTATCGATATCATTAAATAATCCTAATTATTGATAGCATTAAATAGTCCTAATTATCGATATCATTAAATAGTCCTAATTATTGATAACATTAATTCGAATTAGTAATAACATTAAAGCGAAATATCGATATAAATAATTCCGGAAATAAATGATATCACTATTTTCGTTTTATTTTTAGAAAAATACTGAAATTGCGCCCAATAGTAGCGAGGTTTCTTTTCTCTTTCTTTTTACAATGCCGAGATAACTTCCATATCACTTTTAAATAAACGCTTGGAAAATAACTAATTGGAGTCTTTAATGATAAATGCCTTTGATTTTTTTCAGTATAATAGGAAATTGAACTCACTAATTTTCAAACATTGATAATATTTCTCTGAATTGTTCCTAGCTGAAACAAGGAGTGTCTCCATTCCTCATCTGTTTATTTAGATTTTATTCCATTAATTTGATATATGTTATCTCTCTGAAAATATCTTTGGGGAAAAATGTTGCATCTCTCGACCTTAAGAATTGGTTAAGGTGATTTGCTTTTAATAAACTTCAATTAATGATCCGTTAATTTGACAAGCAACACGACAAACACCAGCTGTGGTCATGGCTACTGGCGTCAACCGTTTCTGGAGAATTTTTCCCGGCGACCTCTAAATTGTCATATTTATTCCAGCAACTTGACAACCCACTTATCAAGAAGATGCAGAAAGAGAACGGTGCCCCTTCGTAGCTGAGAATTTGTGCCTTATGATTAACACATAGCACAGTTTGGCATTGGCGTGCGTATCTGAGTAATTTATCTAACAAGACAGATACTGCATTAAGCGCTTCAGAGCCATCAGTCTACAGAGCCAAGAATTATGTCTGCAGATCATGTTGTTCGGTAGACTACAGTATTTGAACTTTTTATTTCTTTTTACCTCTTTCAATTTGCTTGTCAGTCAATATGATTTTGTCAAGTACGGTAAATGTTATATGTTTCGATGGCTCAAATTTACGCAATTTGTCGAGAGCATATAGCGACAAGAATGTGTTTGTGACTGATTTAAAGAAATTGGTCGCGGTGTTTGTTTTCTTCGCCAATTTTGTAACTAGCGTGCCACGTTTAAATTCAGTCCTATAATGACAGGATACATACATGAACTTGACGTTCTTCTGAAATTATCACTGATATGAAAATCCTATATACTATAGAGATAGTGCACTTCCCTGTCAAGAGTTTGACATTTCTTTCAATCACTTTCCCGAGTCTCCTCCTAGAACAGAAGTATGTAAGCTGTATGACAGCAGTTTAATTCATTATTTTTGCTTGACTGTGTCTAATGATGAATTTGTGTTGAAGTGTTTTATTCAGTTGTATGTCCTTTTATACGCTCTTTTATTTAATGTTAACTTTATTTTCGCGATTTTTTTTATTACATGGTAAAAATATAATGGAAAATAAAAATCCGCGAAAATAGCAGCTATGACAGTATATAGTGGAACGAACCTATTTGACACTAGAATACGTTGATAGGGGCTTTAGATATATTCAGCTTAGACTGTACATTTATATGGCGTGTCAACAGATTGGTCTGGACGGTGAATCAACCAAGCGGCATCTTTACACAACAGGCTCATCGATTCACGTCAAATTTCTAGGTACGAAAGTGAGTCATTTGTTACGTAAAATCTTAAGATTTTACATCAGGTGATTGTGGTCTAACTTAAAACATGGAAATAAGATAGATTAGGGGCATTGATACCTATACTGATAATAGAATCGGGGATATCGCCGTTTTAAAGGTGCACATGCTTGAAATCACAGGTGTGTTTAAAAAAGATACCAGTTAACTCGGTGTGCAAAAGTAAGACCTTAAGAAAATGTCATAAATCTACAATTTTCAAGTACAGGAGCGATGTCCAGTGTTGGCGTGTTGTAACAATTTTTTTATTTTGTAAAATCTATAATTTATATATTCTAAATGCTGTGTTTTTAATACATAAAGTATAAACATTTTGTCATCGTAAAATATGTTATTTATATTGTAAAACATGTTTTCAGTTTTATATGATAAACCTTATGATCTATATTGTAAAACTTATGATTTACATTAAAGATTGTGTGATTCTCTCCAGAGAAATGAGTTTTCGTTTGTTGTCTTAACTCTCATCCTTTCTCATCAACATATAGACCAATACTTGAGACAATGCTGGGGAGTTTATCATTTATATGTCAAATTCTTCTGATTGAATACTACTATTTTTGTAAGGAAATTGCTGATAGTCCTACCAGAAAACACATATTACAGGTTTTTCAGCTTCAGCTTGGTATTTTGAAATGCTTAGAAATTCTGACGTGCCCGATACCTGAAACAAATCAATAATATTGATCTTACTAGGTAGCAAGACTGTTTATAGAAATATCTATCCTCACAGCAGCTGCGTCCTTGAGGACAATTGAGACAAGTTCTTCTATCGAGATCATAAATGTCCTTGAAGACAAAGCGGCATGATGATTTACGATCAAAATAGTGTTGGTTGTTATGAAGACAACAGAGATGTTCCTTCAGAAACCATTCATATATATACAAAGTCTTCCCCGGTGTCCTATCATAACTTATTGATTAATATCATATATATAATTACGACATAATCGTTTAAGCCTGTTCTGTAAACTTGCTAATTTTTGCGCTCTCAAAATTTATCACAATATCGATTTTGAATTACATAAGCGCAGCGAGGAATTCGCGCATACACAATAATCGGTATACGACATACATTTGAACTATAATTGGCATTTTCATATTTTAGCGAATTTTTGCACGAAAAGCGCTAAAATAAGATTATCGATAAAATAAGTACCGTGCAGTAACTTATATAATATATTTGTATGACAAATCAAGTTGTCATCTATATGAGGGAAAATGTTGATCATGTGCTTGGCGAATACGATATAATGGTACAAGCGATGCTTCATAATACATAAATAAAAGTTTATAGGTGTAATATAAAAAAAACCAAGAGGCCCCATGGGCCTTAACGGTCATCTGTCTACAAAAAAACTTTCAGCAGGGAGAAGGGTTATTTTTTTCTACTTTGAATAAAATCTTACTAAGAAGCTGTTTTCCATGATGCAGATGGTAGTTTTAGTGAGGAGTAGGTAACTGTAACAAGTGTTACCTATTTTTTGACAGTAAAGTTGGAGCTCAGTCCAGCTGGTGAAACTTGAGAAGTTTGAAATAGGTGTTGCACAGGAAAACCACCATTGTCCAATCACGTTTCAAAATGGTCTCCCTGACTGTCATAACGTTTTGATAAAGTCGAAAAATAACAACACATTGTTGGCTACCTTTCCTTAGCATTCCCACCAATGTTTAGCTCAATGGCACCATTGGAACTGGAGAAGAAGTTTACAATGTTTTTCAAGATGGTGGCCACCTTGGATTTCAGATGTACCGAAAACAACCTTGGTCTGGACCATCTCAGGGTCATTTCATGCAAGGTTGAGCTCAGTCCCACTGGTGGAACTTGAGAAGATGTTTGAAATAGGTGTTTCAAAGGAAAACCATGATTGTGCAATCATGTTACAAAATGGCCTCCCTGGCTGCTGTGTTGAAGTTTTGACAATTTCGAAAAATAGTAATGCTTTGTTGGCTACCTTTCCTTTACATTCCCATCAATTTTCAGCTCAATGGCACCAGTGGAACTGGAAAAGAAGTTTAATAAATATGTTTTTTCAAGATGACCGCCATGGCACCCATCTTGGATTTCAAACCTGAAAAAATAACAATAACAACAATAATAAATTGTTTTTTTTATTCATTAATATTTTACATATCAAAATCAAACATACATGTGTATATGAAAATAACTCACAGAATGGTAAGCACACTGAGTACTGTAACTGGTTGTAGTGTCTACTAACATGGATGACTGATGATTTGAAACATCAAAGATTTCTTCCACATATTATAATTAGGAATACTTAAAGCTGGTCGATGAATTCCCCAAATATTTAATTCAGGTACCATTTTTAACTCTGATTTGGTCTGTCTCCCATCCCTCTGATTCCTGTCATAATATCAAACTTCAATAAAACAAGAATACACAGAATGAATAAGTTGTGAATTCCCCTGATACCGTATTACATAGCAGATTGCATGCACCTAGGAAATCTTGATGAATCCAATATGCATTTTTAACTTATAAATTATTTTGTTTTAGTAAATAAAAAAAAAAAAAATTAAGTGATCGTAACACAATGGAAATGTAATATGTGGTATGGACATTATGTAATTTTCCACTGATAATTCTGACTAAGAACTTTTTATTTTAATTTGATTTGATATACAGACTGGTTTTACATTCAGAGTAGGACATATATTTTTTAAGTCTTATTTTCATTTCTGTCACAATGTGTAAATCTGATATACAGATTGGCAAGAAATATGACAGAAAAGATCATGTTGAATATCTGCATGGCTTTTTCTGTAGATTGCAGATGTCTGTTCACACATCAACAGTACTAAGACCACTAAAATGTACCCTGTATACAGATGTATATTGACGTTAGGGCGCTGGTCACTGGACACATAACAATCCTGACATCTACTATCCTATTTCTGCTGTCCTTGTTCCTTTTTTGTCCATCCATTCGTCTTGAAAATTTCAAAGTTCCCTGACAATGTATAAACTTCTATGACATTTCTCGTTGTAACCTACTGGCGTATGTTTTTGCCGTTAAATCCCAAGCATCCATATATCTGTCCATGCACATGGCTACACATTTCTGAAAAAAAGTAACAATAATTTTCAAAAAAATTGTAATCAAAATTAAATATTTTGAAAATGAGACTAGAAAATGTGAAAAGAGTCTGACTGAAGTATCATGTTATTGTTTTTATATAAGACCAGCAAAAAGCTGTCATAACATAAAGTCAAGCTCTATTATATGATTGTAACTCAATTTTTTTCCTTCTGTTTTTGAAAACATTTTTCTTTTCTATTTTTAATTCCTAACAAAAGAAATAAATTACATTTCATTATGTAATACCTGTACAACAAACAGATAGTCAGTCTATCATTGTAAAACCAGCAATTGTCTGATCTTTATGGATAAAAAATTAAGATCTGAGTTGCTGAAATGCAATCATTTTTAAAGATGTTATAACTAAGATAAAGAAGAACAAACATATTGAATATTAACTGTACATTAAGTGTATGATCAGTATATACAACATTTTGTATAAAGCAACAGGTGTAACACTTTTACTTTCATTAAACCAGCTGTGTCAATGCACATGTAGCTTTCATTACTGAATCAACATCAAGATTTTCTTTCAGCAAAACAACAAGAAAATACCAACATGTGAACAGAATCATGATCCAAACTCAAATTAAATACGACTAGGGTAACATATTCACAAAAAGATTTACACCGAGTCTTCTAAAAAAAGTATAAGGAGTTTAAGACCAGGTCTTTCTGAAGTGTAAGCATCTTCTGCTTCACTGACAACATCTGCCATTTAAATCTTGGTCAATCCAAATCCGCAATATCATATTCTACTTGTCTGTACTGTTGTTATTACTTCATTGATTGTATGATCGTAAATTGTCCTCCAAGACACTTATATCATATTCCAGGGTCTGTATGGTTCAGCTGTTTTAAAGTTAGAAATATGGATCCAGTATGTTACCTATCAAAACAAAATTGACCTCCTCTTGATGATTACTTATCTTTTCAGAACTAGGGAAATTCTTGACATGATTTGATATAAATTTAACAGTAATTATGGAGTCAGTTAAATTCAGACAAATAAAATCAAATTTAAGATAATTTTCATTTTAAAAAATTCTCATTCTTCATATAACACTCAATAGCAGGGTTTTCCATAATTTTGTTAGTAGTAGGCTGTGTAGCGAAGGTAGGAGGCTGTCGTGCTGTGTACATGTAGTCGTGTACGCAACATTATTACGGAACTGGATTGGTGTAGGCGGCCAAATGATCAAAGAAGCCGGTCAAATTGGCCGGCGACTGGCTCTTATGGAAAACCCTGCAATAGTCTACTTTAAATCAATTTTTCATGAAACAGACGTTTGATATTTTGGGTATTTTTCCTATTCTTTTTCAGTACAATGTGAATACCTGTTCTGAGTTGTCCAATGAGGCTCCTGGTTTGTAAACACATTTTCTGAAACATTTATCTGCAACAGTCTGAAAAACAGAAAAGATCCGTACAAAATTACAGATATCTTACAAATTTTAATTCTGAATACCAAATTGTCTGAAATAATGCCAAAATGCAGAAAAAAGGGTTAAAAAGTTCAAGTAATCAGTATATTACTTGAGATTTTCTAACTTTCAACCCGACTCTAACAGTGTCGCCAATTCTCTTGATTTCAGCAGATCAATCCGATCTAGAATCACCCGATATTTCCTTACTTTTGATCAGTATTGAAAGAATTCAAAACAAAATTTAGATCTAATTTGGTCAAAATAATGTTCAAATATAACATAACATCTTAACACATATTTTACAACAGAATTGATTACAATGTCTTTTTCCATGATGACTCTTGAAAAACCTGGTCACCCTTGATTTTGATGGTCTTTGACACCAGATGTTAGATATTGATATCAAGAGGTTTGTGACATTGCTCTAAATGTAACCACAAGCTGTGGAATTTCATTGGGCACCAATGTACAAAAACTTTGAAGATACACGTTCCAGTCAAGAGCACATGCCCTGACCAGGAATCAAACCAAGGTCTCCAGCTTGATAATCAACGGGTTTACTCCATATTGGGCGATATGCATGTCAAAATGGTGATTTTCTTTCTACAATTATCATTTTTGAATGCCGACTAATGTATGGATCGCTCATTTCCCTAGCTTTTTATATGGACAGAATTATTACTCCAAGCTTATACATAAAAGTCACGGATAGAATATGGGAAAAATTTGGACTATGACTGGCTCTGCCAACTGTGACAAAGAAAGCATGTTCCATCAGTTGAGAAACAGAGGCTGACACCGTTTTTAACACATGTCAACCTGCTATTTTTATCCATAAACCTCTGTTCCAATCCTACATAATTAACACAACCATTAGAAGATACGAGTGTGAGTGACGTTTCGTTGACTACATGGTCACCTTCATCGAACAAAAAACGTGTATTCATCTTCAATTTTAGTAATAAAATAAGTATTCAAAACAGTAACTGTCACCAAACAAGGCATGAAATTTTTGACGGGCGCTCTAGATATAAAATGTAAAATGCAATTAAGCGAACTAATACCTCTTCTACACGTCTTAGAACGAAATAAAACAGGTGTGCACAAACTGTAAAAAAAACACTCGCAAAAGTTAATCATTGTTTTTAGTAATATGCACATATGTAAATTTTGCATGTTGCCATTTTGATAGTAATGTAAAATCAACTTTAAAACACAAGTGAACGTGTCTGATGAATACAGTACGTATGTTACACAAGCTCACGTGTCTCCTATACAACTATCTGACGCAAGATCTTGCCCACATGAAATCTAAATATTCCTTTTTAATATCGTTACCTGTAGTAACATCTGTGCATTTGCTAGTGCAATTTCTTGTCTTGCTTGATTCAATATGTCGTCTCTTTTTGACGGGTCCATCGTAATTTTGGTAACACTGAACTACTTAAAAATATCAATGGTCACATATAACCTTCGAAACGCATGTGTTAGCTGGGGCGCTACTTGATTTGATCATCTGTGTCGTATACTCGAATCGACCGCCTGAAACCGGCATCGAGCCTATCGCTAAGGAGGTGATTCTACAAAGGTTTAGCTGCTGATGAATGTATACTTACACAAATACAACTTTATCATAACTTTTCATACAGACTTACATAGACGATAACGAATTGGTTCAATTTCGAAAATCTCGGCAGGCAACTAAACGTGCCTGTCATCTTTGAGCAAAGTTAAGGTCTTTTTTTGTCATGATCAGTAATGCTTGATTTTAGTTAATAGTGTTATAAAATATTTTGTGTTGTTCTATCTTTTGGTTTTGATTTCATTATTTAATCCGTGTTCAATATTTATCCATTCTCGAGACAGCAGCAGATGTGTGCCGTTCAGATCGACGCACACTATCGGTTAATAAATCAAATGGACCCAGGGAAGCACCTTTGAGTAAGGCTAAAACATAGATACATCACATTGATAACTACCGTAATGCAAGATCATATTAAAGGCAAAGCATATCTTAAGTTTTGACATACATCATGTTCGAATGTTTATAGACTAATTACAACGTAGAAATTATATCTTTCATTACTAAGATACCATTTCTGTTAGCCGATTTTAACTGTATAGGTCCCGTTAATGCATGCTAGTGACTTATCTGATACAAAACTAGCGAATATTTGAATGATTCAGCTTCAAATTTAACTAGTGCCATTCAAGACATGAATTTATCTAAGAATGCAAGTTGAAATAAAATTTATGATTATTAAATAACAGCCGAAAAGACGTCTTTTTGACGTTGAATACGCTATCCGTTATTTGTCCGTATGATTTATCCTGTTTTTACTCCAATGCACACATTGCGAAATCAATGTCTTCTTGACGTTTAGATCGATCGGTCTTACGTGATAAAAATGCAAATTTTATTTACATCGCATAGTCTTTCATAGTATGGAAAGGTAAGTTAATTTTAAATGTATAGACTTGAACGCTGATGAACTGTATGTTATAAACTCTGTTCTCCAAACCTACTGTCTAAGGCTGGCTTAATTAGAAGCTGAAACATTAGTCAACTGATAACAGTTCTCATGTCAGTGTGTTGTGTGTGTGACTCATTTTCTATTTCATATATCAGATGCCAGTGCTAAATCCTAAACAAGCACACGTCGCTTCACTTCTCAGAATTTCAAGGTATAATTGGTAAGGTATGCTGCTACAGCTGCACACCGCAGCATGTTGGATGAATGGAGGTAGAAGTTCCGGATCAATTCGTCCCACTTCACTGATCACGAAATAGTTTCAATGTATTGGTGTATTTATTTACTGTTAGTGATGGAGTTTGTTTATAATATTACATACATACATGACAGGTGATTTATTACACCTCATTGTAACCGTCTCAGACATAAACCAGCACGTACAATAAGCTTCGTATGTTAGGTCCATGTGTTGGCATGCCCGCCACACCATCTGTAATACTAATAAGTTACCTGCAACTGATGTCATATCATTCTGGCACGTTTTGCAGTGATAAATCACTGTTAACAGGTTACACAGTATAAAAGATAGGGTAAAATCTAAACAGTATGTTGTTCTACTGCCTGTTTAAACAACTTTTATTTAGAGCTGTAACTTTAGCTACTGAATAAGGAAGAAAGTTTGTATTAATGGCAGGAAGCAGGTTGATTTTGTTAAAATAGGTTGGCAGTTTCACCACTAAACCAGTATATGGAAATATAATATACTACAAGACTATTTTAATACATATATGTTTGTAGCCTGATATGATATTTAATTGTAATTAAAAGTTGGATGCGAATATTACTGAAGTAGAAAAGATATAATGTAGTTCCACCACATCTAGATTATAATTATGTAGTTTTGGTATTTGTATATTCAATTTTTGATTTACTGCAAGCAGGAAGTGATACATATCTTTAATTCAGACTTAAGACTATAGGGTACTTAGTTTTTACTGTGTTGTACATATATAGTACATAATAGTGTTTTCTACTTAAAGTTTTAAATACTGTCTTGAAATACTGAATTTTCTCAACACAAAAATGGAATTTCATAAGAAGAAAAGAAATTGTTACCTTCATAGTCACTTATCTCCCTTTTATTTTTTAACTCTCCGTCGAATTCATAATATAGCAAATAAGTTATCTCCCTTGTTTCACATACTTGTAACCCTGGTAAACTACTAGCCGCAATATGCCACTCAGCTAGAGAGAACTTCTCTTTAGCTCGATTTGTTGAGCATCAGACTAGTAAGCCAGGGGTTCCTGGTTCATTTCCTAGCAGAGGCATGGAGATGAAAAATGACCTCTGTTACGTTGGCGCCCATGTATGAACCCGGGAAAAGTATTTAGCCATGCCCCACCAGCATTGCTGTAACCCCTGGAAACTTGAGGATGAGTTATTTCCTGGAGGGGGAGTATGTAACCCTGGTAAAACACTAGCCGCAATATACGACTTGGCTAGAGAGAACTTCTCTTTAGCTTGATTTGTTGAGTGTCAGACTAGTAAGCCAGAGGTGCCGGGTTATATTCCCATTGAAGGCATTGAAATAAATAATGACCTCTGTTACATATTTTTTTACTAGGAGACAATTCTCATGAATTCATATCTTGGGTATAAGATAAACATGAAAACCAGAAAAATTAATAAGTATGATATTGCCTGCCTTCTTCAGAATAGTTTTAAACTAAATATCGAGGAATGAAAAAATGAAGTTTTGATTTCTTTGAAATTAGTTTTTTCATGTTTCTTTAATCTGATGTGAAGTGAATTAAAGGTTTTTCTGATATGATGGTGAAAAATTGACATGAACTGATACTTTTATTGCAGAAAGCCTACATTTTATGTCATTCTTGGAATCTATAATTAAAACATTGTTTATGTAGTGATGTATCCTTTTTACTGTACATGTACGTATAGGTGGTGAAGCTGAGTGAGGATGAGTGCTCTATCTATCCTAGCGGAGGAGTGTGAGCTTCTCAATGACTCCAAGTACAGGGCGTATATCACCCAGGTGGACAAGGCACTGCGTAGCTTTGAAAACACCAGTGAGTGGGCAGATCTCATTTCTGCACTTGGAAAACTGAATAAGGTACATATTTGATTTTTGTCATTTCAGTCTGAATGATGTAGTTTTGGTAAGAGAGACTTCTGTCTTTGTCCAACAATAATCCTTTGCCAGGTAATTAGTAAAATTACTATGATGTCTATTGCAATTCAGTTAAAATATCTAGCAAATACCTTTGATTGTCCTATAATAAGCCCAGCCCCTGAATATGAGCCACATTTTATGTCTTGGCTGCCTGGGCATAATACAGGATAAATATATATATGTGTGTTTCTTGGCATTTTATACTGAAACTTTATTTTAATTGATGTAAATGTTATTGGAGGACACAGGCTTGACACTTAACTGGAACAGCTTATGGAGATACATTGTATAATAAACGTTTGAACTACCCATGTTGTTGAATTGTTTTGGTGATTTCTGAAAAATTAATACATGTGGCTTACTGTGCTTGTTCTAATGTCAAACAAAATATATTTTTTGTTGTTCCAGTAACCTTATATTTTCCTTATATTTTCTGCCTACCCTCTACCCTAAACGTTTTATGACAGTTTCAAAGAAGTAATGTTAAAGCCAAGATCTCTCTCCTATGTAAAATTATTTTTTTAAATTTTGAATTCCTACCTGCTTTGAATTTTTCTGACATGTTACAGGAAACATATTTGTTTGGTTTGGCCTTATATGGTACATTTATTATAGAGTCATTGTGTGGTGATAATTCATACTGTTTCTTTGACAGGTATTACTGGGACATGTCAAGTTCCCCGTCATTCCTAAACGTGTCACTATAGGAAAGCGACTAGCCCAATGTCTTCATCCCGCCCTTCCGAGTGGAGTACATTTGAAAGCCCTGGAGACTTATGATATAATCTTTAAATGTATTGGCACCCAGAGACTGGCTCAGGATCTGTTTATATACAGCGCTGGTCTGTTTCCTTTATTGGGCCATGCATCGATGAGTGTAAAACCCACATTGCTTACAGTGTATGAACGACACTTCATAGGTCTCGGCCGACACATTAAACCAGGCCTTAATGGTCTGCTTCTCGGACTTCTTCCAGGATTGGAGGAGGGAGCAGAGTATTACGATAGGTAATTATGAGATAGTCTTTTTAAATTACGGTCAGGTAGGCCAAGGAGAGATATAACTGTTTCATGTTACTTGAATTTCCCAATTTTTGTATTAATTTTAGAACCTATGCCTAAGTACATGGTTTAAAAACTCATCAAAGATGTATATGTGTATAATCTCTTCATAAAAGATAGGAATTCAGTCATCTTTGTCTTTCCCTATCTCGTTGAATATACTAATTTACACTCCCCGTCGTTTTTCTGAGGAAGAGGATGGATACTCTTAATTACTGATCAACTAATACATTATTCAGTAATTCAATGGTTTGAGTCCCATATACAAGCACACCATATACATTTAAGTGTATTATATATGTATCAATACAGTTCTTATTATAACTGATCTGATGATGAAAGGTAGTGAACAGATATGCGATTATTTGCAGGTAATCACATAGCTGGTCACTGTCCTTAAAAATCAATAATGATGATCTTGAAGGAATGTTGATATATTGACGTGATATTGTCTGCTGCTTTGATATAGTTATTGCCGTCTTTTGTAGATATTCTACGATATCTACAGCTGTCACAATAACATACCAGTAAACATATCTTGTTCAATGCACAAAGTCTCAATGCATAGGGATTTATTTTCACACAGACGATTTTTAGATAGGACATATATTTATGATCAGAGCAATCAGTTTTATAGATATATATTTAAAAAATATTGAGTCTTTTTTTGATGGTACAATGTTTGTGGTTTTGGTCAAAAACCTGAGCAAAATAAATTTCTTTTTTTTTAATGGAAGACTTGCATGTTACATTTACATTACATGTATATTGATCATGAATTTACAGAACTTGATTTCGGTGATGCTTCTAATTATTTCTAAGTTTGCCAGCATCTTATGGTTACCTATGTAGCTTTCATTGTGAAACTCATAAAAACTATTACCCTATTGTGTATGTTTTATTTCTTGTAAAGATACATATTTTAGCAGTAATTTTATTGCAGCAATTTTTGCCCTGAATGTACTGTGCTGAAATATGATTGCTAATAGCGTTGTATATGTGTTAATTTCCAAGGAAGTTAAAATACTCTAAAACTTGATTGTGCAAAATTTTGGATGTTTTCAATATATAAATCAAAGAAATATTATATACCTGCAAAATTTCAAAATAAAAATTTTTAAACGAGTATAATTTAATTAAACAGATTTTAAATTTAAATGGTGTCCAGCTGTCTCTGTTACAAATATTAGAACATTTAAAATTAAAAAAACCTATAATCATATGTTCTTGTGTTAATGTTGTAATTTTACTACAGAACTAATGGGCTACTGGAGGATTTTTGTGAGTCTGCCGAGCCGGAATATTTTTACACCTGTCTGTGGGAGTGTGTCATGTCATGTCCGAGTGTCCGTCTACCTGCCATCACCTTCCTGTTAGCCCACTATAATAAGAAACAGACAATGGAGGACCAGCTTTATATGATGGGACTAAACATTGACCTCATGGTGGGTAGTATAGAGTCTCGATAATGTATGATAATGTATAGATATCAGTGTATATATGGTCTCTTGATTCTTAGTGCTGAGTTGAGTAAAAGAAAAAAGAAAAATTAGACTGTGTTATTTTCAGAATGAGAGAAGAACACAAATTGAGACAAGAACTCACTTTGAATGAAATGTCAGAGTTGTTGAAAAATTATTTTCCTCCAGTTGTTCTTTGCAATAAAAAGAAACGTAAATTGTATGTTATCTTCAGAATCAGAGCAATACATAAATTTAGCAATTAATCATTTTCCAACAGCTGACAGTTTAAGTATCAATCTTAGAGTCGGTGTTTATATTGATTCTAAATTTAGTTTAATAGGTAATAGTGTTGTTATTTTATCACATAATTGGTTTGTTATAATCTACTGCATTCACCCATGTTTTGTGTCACTAGTGTAATATACCTTGGGGTGTTTTTCATTTTCTTTAAGGTGTAAATTGAAAAGAGTACAACATTATGCCTGCCTCATTAAATTTTTGTCTTTTATATTTTGAATCTGTCAAAATATTACTTTTGTGAGTTATGTGCTGCAAAATATTGTAAATTTATATTCATTACATTTGAGATTTAATGAAACTCATCTTGAAGTTTCAAATATTTTGCTAGTCTGAACTTCGAAGACTTGTTTCATCAAATGAAAATGAAATCATTTTGTATCTTGTGGACAGGAGGAAGGTAACCTCATATTATTTCACCTATGTGCCTTGGACCCCTAAGCGAAAGGTAAACATGTGACTACTGCGGCACCTGACCACTCATTTCAGATCCTGTTATATGACAAATCCTGTGCTAAAGGGAATATTTTGTTATTGTTTTCTAGTTGAGATTGTCTTTGTAGAGCTAGTTACATTGTATGTCTTGTCAAGTTTATTCACACACTGGAGCCTTATTTTTCAGGTTGAGGCTATCTGTAGTGCTGCCCAGGACTCGCTCGTCCTAGTACAGAGAATTCTGTTGGATTTCCTGCTCCTTGCCTTTCCTATGCGGAATGGTCAGCTCACAAAGTCTGACATGGCCAAGATTGTAAAATCTGTGATCAATGTGGTTCTACGCAGGGACATGTCACTCAATCGACGCTTATATGCCTGGCTTCTCGGAACTGGAGCCAACAGTTCTGGTAATATCAATCGTCAGACTGCAGACAAGGCCAAGAGCTTGCGTAAGGATAGTGTCGCAAGCGGAAGTGAAATTGATCTGTTATATTTCCACACTTACTCGAAGGATCTCCTGATTCAAGCCCTCAAACAGAAACTCTCAGACTCGAGCGAGGAGGACAGTATAACTGGAAAACATTCTGGGAAATCAGCTGTGTTAAAACCTTTCAGGATATTGATGAGCCTGTTAGACAAACCTGAAATTGGACCAGTGATTTTAGAAAGTGTTCTTTTATCTGTTTTTCAATGTCTATACCGAGAGACAGGTTTACTACATTCCAAATATAAAACAAACAATGATTTAGGAACAGACATTGCCGGTGAAGACACTTTAAAACAGACTAAAAGCCATGTAACTTCTGAGTCAAAAACTTATGGAGAGCTGATCAAAACTGCGAACTTATTGTTTGGAACGTTTGAACCTTACTTTATATGGGACTACATTGCCCGCATGTTTGAGGAATCGTGTCAGAAATTGACTAGCAGCGACGGACAGTTCCTGTCTCGTCAGAGGTCTGTGATTGAAAGTGATATTCCATCTCTTTCAGAACTCTGTACACTTGTGGACTACCTGCTGGAAGTGATATCACTGGTAAGTTTTAACAGGAGTCTTTATGATACCTGTTTGGTGTATCTGGGGAAATCTTCCTTGGAGCATCTTGTATACGATAACTAGTGACAACTGCACGATTTGTCTAACAGTCACAAATAAGTGGTGGGCTGGTACTCATGAAACATACAGTACACGATAAGATTGTTCTCCGTTTCTCAGAGTGATTTGAAATTAATGTTTATTGTGTGTATGTTGTATGAAAAGAGAAATTTTTTTATCCTCTCGATTTTGGTTTCATCCACATATGTACCTCACTGGTCTAGTTATAAGCCACAACCCCGACCATGAGAAAATGTAGTAGATTATAATGCAGAAAATGCTAAAAGATATCTGAACTATATTGGTAAGACGAAGAAGAAAAAATATAGTGATATTGCTTTTTGGTTTGTTAGAAGCTGAAAGAAGTTTACAGAGACTACTGAATATATCTATCTCCTCAAATGTAATAGTGTGTTTATGTTTGACACCAGACTTTGCTAAGAAACCTGGTGTTTTTGATTTAAATGATCCTAATACAGCAACATGATTTTCAGGAGACGTTTTTGGAGACACAGACAGAACATCTACCAGATTTGTTGTACAGGGTCACAACAACCTTGACCAACCATTGTACCAAGATCAAGGACACAGATATCAAGTGTACTCTACAGCTGTGTATCAAGTTACTGGCCAAGGTCCAGCCTGCTATGGACGTCCTGGGCCTGGATACGGTCAGCACTGATGGAGTAAGTCTCTGACCTTACAAACACAGCCAGTGACTACAGTTATATATACAAGTTATAAACATCTCATTGCCAATAATTGTTTAAATGTTTTTTTCATTTATATTTGTAGTCAATGGGTAAAGCTGCAAAGTGAAGTGAAACATAAACATGTACATTGTCTCCTGAAAATATGTCCCCCACAGTAAATTCAGGGTTCCCAATGCAAAATAGTATCTTTTTTCCCAATTTAGACCCCAAGTTTTCCCAATTCTAAGGAAAACACCATTATTTTTCCCAATTCAAAGGGTCCAGGCCCCAGTCCCAAAATGGGGTGTGAGAGCCCTGAAATTGTTCAGTTATTGTAATTCATGAATTTAATTTACAATCAAATCTGCCTTATTTGAGTTTAGTTTATTATTGCTTTACATCTTATTAATAGTCAAGGTCATTTAAGATCAGGTTTGAGTGATGCACTGACCTAAGGCCAGTCAGTACCTGATGATTGCCCCACGTGGACCTTGAACCCATGACCCAGAGGTTAAGGGCAATTGATAAAGACAGTCAGACACCTTAACCTTTTGGCCACCGCAGCTCCTGTCTAATTTAAGGCCACCTGCATATAACAAATACCTGTCTATAGAGGTCACTGGTTTGGGTTTCATATCAATTTAGCCTGCCCATAGGCCATTTCTCTGTAGCCTTTGTTGACAGATTAGACTGCGTTGCTGGTAGGAATTACACTTTTAACACATGCCCAATTTGATTATCATCTGTTTTACAGGTATTTGAAGGACACAATATGAGTAATCTATCCCATCACGGTGAACATTTGGAAGATTACAAAAAGTTACGGACATCTGAAATGAAGAGCAATAAGGATATTTCAACTGTCCATGAAAATGGAACCATTACAAACGGTGAATGTGGTGTTAATGGGGAGAAAGCTGGCAATTTAACTGACGAGGACCCCTCATCAGTATCTGACACAAAGCATAATGACAACGATGAAATGGAAAGGAAAAGTGTTGTGGACACAGATATTGTAAAGGAAAATGGACTGTCAGTGGACAATGAAAAAGAATTGATTGAAAATGGAGATATCCATCCAATAGAAAATGGAAATATTGAAACAAGTGAAAAAACAAACGATGAGTCAAAAAAGAGTATTGAATGTAAGTCAGAAGAAAATGGATTAGATTTTGACCAGTCTACAAATGAAAATGAGATTGATCCTCCGTTTTTAGAACGGAAGTTGTCTCGCAGTTCAGGGAAGAATTCGGCCACTACTATGATGCAGTCGTGTATCGAGTGTTATAAAAACTTCTTCCATACGTACGTCACACAGAAGATCATTAAGGACCCCAGCATCATCACTACCTGTATCAGTCAGATGAACACATCAACAGACTACACCGGTGACTACAGAGACGAGGACGACTTTGGCCTGCCAATAAGTCAGCAGGCTAGCCAGTGTGAAAACATAGGACCAATAAGTGCAGGCCACCTACACGAGGAAACCTTACAGACTTTTGACTGTGCTTGTAGACTTCTGTTGGATTTTACAAGTTTTCCTATCTTTTGTACAGATTTCAACAAAATCTTCCAGCGATCTTTCAATGCAGGTAAATACACAGCTTATTGTATTAAAGTATGCTTTGCAATAAGCCCAGGTGTTGGAGTGGAAGGGGGGCAAATACTTAACCTGATATTAAAAGTAGAGGGCTGGGCATATTACAGGACAATTAAGTATCATGTTTAAGAATTTACATTAAGATTTCCTGAGATTTGGTGGGCTTATTTTCCAGGTTTGGGCATATTATCAGATAAGTACAATTTGATCCTATATGCTATATGATTGGAAAGAATAGAAATAAGGATATATCAAAAGTTTTAAGTATTTTTCACTCTATGAAAGGGAAGCCATTGGTCAGAATTAATATGGTATTAAAGAATGGACTCAGAGAAAACCTAAATGATTCAAATTAAAGATCATGTTCATTCCATTAAATGATAATCACAAGATGTTTGTTGATTTGATTTCTGTATTTGTTGTTTGTTTCCAGGTGAAAATGTGACCCTGCCAATGTGGGTACAAGATTTGATTGCCTGTGGCTGTTTTGTGGAGAGTTTTGAAGTGCAGTCTGCGGCCATAGCGACAATGATACATTTGATAATTGTTGCTAAGACAATCCAATCAGAAAGTGAAAACAAAGTTGATATTGGTCTAGAAAGGTCCAAATCTGTTGGTGAAGGAAGTCCAGTGTCAGTCGTGATCATGCCTGCACTACTGCCGATCCATCTGAAATATCTTGGAGAAAAAACAACATTTTACAAGGTAGATTGGGTAGATGTGGTTCAATGGAGGGGTAACATTTAGTGACTTACTGTTGATATTGAGGGGTTAACATAAATAGCTTTAGAATTTTGTGCAATTTTTGAAAATTTACAGTAATATACAGATCTAATGAACCTTTAGTTAGAATGTATTAATTATATGTGGAAAAAAAGCAAACTGAAAAAACTTGTTATGGTGAGTTTTACAGAAGATTAATATTTTAACAGATTTTTGTCACAAGAGTCAAGGTAACAGTAAAGGGATTAAAGGTCCGGTTGTAAATCTTAATTAGAGCTTAAATTGAGATTGGCTCTGAATTGTTTCAGTCAGGTTCTTTGGATCCATACAAATGGTAGAAATTAAAAAAAAATCAAATATGATATTGGTTTTAAACCTGTAAATTATGCTCACTGAAAGCATATAGTTACCGCTTTGTCTGTCCATCGTAATATTGCCTGGAGCATAACATAAAAACTATAAGAGGTATCAACATAAAACTTCATAGGTAGATAGATATTAAAGAGTAGGAGGGCAGTGCACACGAATCCGAACTCTCATATTGCCCTTTGTTATTTTTCATACTTAGATTTTGTCCCAATCAGGGAGCATAACCTGTCTGACAGTGACTGTCTGGTAGGTCTGTAACACCAAACACGAAACATGACATTAACATACCAATTTTTGTTTTGTTTTTTGTTTTCAAAAAGTTACAATTATCAGTAAACACCCATACCATTGTGTTACAGAAAGTGGCAAGTATACTGTGGAGCTACATGGATGAGTCAACACCATCACATCACCAGCAGACAGTACAGCTATTTCATCACTTACATCAGGTCACCCCAGACAGCTGGGTGTGTGAGGATGTGATCGGTCATGCCCTTGTGTCCGAGAATGAGGTCAGCAATCACCAATTTATGGCGCAATATTTTACCTACTGTAAAAGTTTCTCTGTTAAAGGGGTAGTATTTTTCACTTATAATAGAGGGTTGCATAAAATGGAGGAAATGATAGATATCTTTGGAAAATATATACATTAAGAAACTATCGGTCATTCCTTGACTTCCAATAATGACATATCCGTCTTGCCCAAGCATCTGGAAGACCCAGAAAAAACATTAATCATTGGAAAAAAACATTATCTTACAGTAAATATCACATACACTTTAATTATACATTTATTGAGACATGGTATAATGAAAAGATACAGTTTTCTTGTACATTTGTAGTTTGTTAGATGTACTTGGATATAATCTATATCTTAACTTACATTTCAAGGTTGAACGTATTGGAGCATTCAAAAAGTTAACAGTTCTTTGGCACCTGACGAGGGACAGCCGTTCTGACCCCAACCCAGGACAACCTCCGCGCACATTTGACAGGTATGAAAGCACAGATTGTTACTAAAAATATAACAAAAGAATGACATGTAAATACTATTTCCAGATCGTTACAATATACATTATGTATATACAACATATAGCTAGTTATTATCGCAGGGACAATATTTTCACTATTCATGATGCATTAACGTGACCATGAATATTTAATCTGTGAAATAATGAGATGTGTGTAGTAGATGTTCATTTTATATCCAGATTTTGAAATTTACAGTCATTAAGATATTATTCAACCATTTGACTAGAAAACCATGAAAATTTTAACCCATCAAAATTACCAGATGTTCAGTATCTGGCTTTAAAAATATTATTAAGTATTTTCTGCTACATAGGATGTCAACATAAGGCTATAACAAGTTTAAGTATTATGAAATTGATATTCAGAAACTTTAAGGTCACTTGACCAGAAGGCCTGATTTATGTAGAGGTATTTCATGTTCGATACAGGTCAATGCTAGTGCTTCTTGACAGTCTGAAGGAGGAAATTAGTGCGACCAAGACCATTGCCACAACGTGGCTCACCCACATCATACAGCGGGGGGACATCTGTCGTGTCCTGAACCCTCTACTTACCATGCTGCTCCACCCAGACACCGCCAGGTAAGAGTCAACAAGATCCCAGAATGCTTTCCCGGTATAAAGGTATATAAGTGGTATACAATAGGTTTTATATTTGTCACAGGTCATTTGTCACAGCATGTCAAGATGGCATCATTTATTCATAAAATGGTGTTAGGAAGACAAAGTACTGTTTCTTTATTCAGAATGTTTCGTTTTGGATATTATTTACAATGACAATAACTGTAAAAATTGAAAACCTTTACAGTAAAAATTAGTCGGGAAAATAAGACATCTTGAGATCTTCTTGGAAAATATATCCTTTCTGCTTAAGACTTTTGGTAAAACTGAAAATTAGAACCATGAAAAAAAACTAACCTTTAATCAAAGTATTAAAAATCAATTTTGAACTGATAAGTATTGTTTGAAATAAAAAAGTACATATTAAAATCATGTGTAACAAAACTCCATGGCCAGAATTCACAAGTCGTGTGGCTAGAATATCGTATGTAATATCAATATTATTTACAAGCCCCTATGACCGGTATAAACAAGTTGTTGTGACCAATTCATTTAGAACTGTTATGAAGTGTTTTTTAATTTTCTGTTCCAGGATTTCTGTTCAGCATATTAATGTTCACAAGCCCAAGAAGGTACAGCTGACTGAAGAAGAAGATCCTGGAAATGAGCCTCAGATTTATGCCATCAGTAGCGAGGGTGGTAACATCATATACCATGTTAATAATTCCAGCACAAAATCGTGGTCTGCCAAACGATCAGAAAACCTTAAATCTTTCGCTCTCACATCTGTAGACAAGCAGGGGTCGGCTACAACAGCTCAAACAAGGCACCAACAGGAGATGCACTTTGATCGTGTCCGTCCTAGTGACCTCAGCCTCTGTATCAACCCTTTTGGGTCAGAGAGTAGTCTTGATAGACTAGTGTTCGAAGGTTATGAGACCTCCACACAAGTAAATCTAGTCGGAGCAACACGGCTAGACCGGGAGACTTGTGCTAAGGAAGGTATATTCTTTGATGCAAATGAAAATGGATCCCAAAGTTGTAGTGAGACCAGTCCTCAAGAAGACAGCCCAATGATAAATGGATCTGAAAGTATGGTTAATGAGATTCTCATGGAAGTCCTGAACACAGTTGTCCCCCCTTCTCTGGAGAGTTCTGTTGCTCTAGAACAAGACGATCAAGATATTGATGAGGATTTTATTCTTGAAGATTCAGATGCTACTGTTCCAAAAGTGGTCGAGGCAAAAGGAGAAAATCGACCACGCTTACCCAGTGTGTCGTCGAAGACCAGTAGTGTTATAGAAGATCACGATATCTTAAACACAGTTGATAATAGGGGCATGGAAATTGACTCACCAACAGAAAGTGAAATAGATTTACCAAATCAACAACACACACACCATGGAAAAGACAGAAATTTCAACAATGTTCACCCTCTTCATATGCATATGTTGTTGTACACACAGAAATACGACCACAAACGAACATTGTATGCATTAACGACATTGAGATCAATGCTAGTTACTTGTCCAAGACTTGTAGTTACTGCTCTGGTTACTACAAGTATAAGTGCCACGAGGACGCCACAATTGGCCAAACTACAACTTTTATTGGCCCGTCACAGAAAATCGGTATTTGGGAAAAACTTTTTTGGTGATCTACCTCCAGAAGTTATGTCCAGTTATCGAAGTAACATGTACATTGAAGTTATTATAACTGTGTGTTTGTTTTTTGTTCGAAGTTACTTTCCCAACCTGATGATAAGCAAACTTTCCCATGGCGAGTTGCTAGGCAACAAAGAAGTTCACATCCTGGCTACGGAAGTACTAACACTTCTCATGTCAGAGTTGATCGTTATCATGAAAGAAAGCGGGAAAAGTTTTGTATCGTACATCAAAGATCTTCTAGTCAGATGTAAAGTGCAAAAAGCCCTTTTGCACTGCTGTCTTGCATCTGTGTATAACTTCAGAAAGAAAGACAAAATTGTTGCAGCTTCATCGAAAATCACCGAGGCTATCATACGATTTAATGACGAAAACTTGGACCTATCTGTTAACGAGACATTCCAGATCCGTCTGCTAAATTTAATGTTGGTTCTTATCATGTTGGAGGGAAACATTGAAAAAGTATTTTCCGATGTGCCTGAAAGTTCCGGGACAACGACTCCCTCAGCAGAATGGGAACGTCCTCGTGTAAACTTCCAGCAGTCATTACTTCATGCCCGGTTCCAGGGTTCCCTTCCCATAGTGCAACAGAGGATGTTCCTGTCCTGTGTTCTCAGTGCCATGAAACAATCTCACATGCGCCATATGCACCGTCACTGGGTTGCCATGGTAACATCTGGTCTGCCATTCATGAGTAAAGCCCTGTCCAGCATCGTGATGAATGTGGTGGCCCAGCTTTGTCGTAACATTGAAATGGTAGCCTCCAAATATGAGGACCATACGAAGAAAAGGTAATTCTAATGTATATTTTGTAGAATTGTACAAAAATCTATTAAGTCAATACTGTAGATTCATGGAAGGTTTACTTTCATCAATGTTGTGAGTACATTAGATCTATTAACAGTGTAAATTAGTATCATTTTAGTCAATTACTTACAAAAGTTGACAGTGTAAGTCAAAAACTGTCAAATTGAAATTAAAATGTTATATATCTGTACAAAGATATTTTCACCTCAGGTTGCCTCATGATCATTTCACCCTCAGAGGATTATGTAAAAGGGTGATATAAATGTAACAAATTGTCACCCCCATCTTCTATTCACCCTCCTTGTTCATGGCCAATAGGGTGAAAATTATAGGAAGCGAAAAATTCCCGCAATTCGGGTTATATGAAATTACAAGTTTTTGAGAATTCCTTTGAGATGGCTCGCTGGATGACAATATCTTCTGGTCATTGTATCTGAATTATTGAATGTCTTCAATTTTATTTTTTTTTGTTGTAGAGGTCAAGAGAAGATGCCCCCTGACCACTTACTGACCATCTTAGAGGGGATGACCACCATCTGCCATTACTGTCTGCTGGACAATGCCTCTCCAGTGTCCATTGGCCTACCTGCTCCCTCAAGCATCAACATCACCACAGAAACGGGCAGTGCTGGACAAATTTTCACCAACCTCATCAACGTCTTCAACCCAATAGGGAACAGCCGGGTAGGTATTCCTCAGGATAACAGTATCTTAATTTTGGTGTTCATCTGAAGATTGTCACAAATCAATCAGAAGCTGTATTTAGTCAAAAAGATTTAGTCTGTTACGTATGAAGAAAACAAAATCTGTTTTTGAGTGTTTAATTTTTACAGAATTTTCAATCTAATCATTGGTGTATCTAGAAACCTACCTATGAAATATTGTTTTGATAATTTAAAGCATAATTTGTCACTCCTTTTATTCCTTGTGAAATTTTGCCATTGATTAGTTGTTTTACTTAACTGTGTTTAAAATAACCAAAATAAATTATTTTCCATTTGACTTACTAAATTTAATATGGAGGTATATTCACAAGTTCACACATAGCTGTGATTAAATGCCAAATATAGGAAAAATTCCAGACCTTCTAAATATTTAACCTTGTATGCAATGACTTTATAGTTTTCAAAATGTAACTATGTTTCTCTCTTTAAAATCAAGTTGTATGTCTATTTAACATATATTTTCTTTGCTCAGGAGGCAAGTCCCCAGAGAGAGACTCCTCTAGTACCTATTATGGATGCACGTCGAAGCCTTCTCAGCATCATGCCACGCATCATAGCCTGTCTTACATCACTCTGGAAGGCTGCCAAGTATGCAGAGGAGCAAGTTGGTGATGAGAGCAAGTCTCACCCAACTTGGATTATGGGAACGCCAAAGGTTAGCTTTACTCTATATAAAAAACTTCAAGTGCAATCTCTTCAGGTTGAATAGATGTTCTTATATCACAAATGTTAGATGAAGATGACTCTTGTCATTGAAACATCACACCTTAATTTTGTGGCCGGTTTTGACTAAAAAACATCAGTTTATACAAGATTTAAAACATACCCAGAAATCAAAATTGAGTACCACATATTGATTGTTATCAAAACTTATCTATTGAGGTTACAACTGGAAATGTTTTTCCAGTCAATCAAAATTGACCTGTTCGAGTCAAAATGGACCACTTGACTGTTGTACTGTGTCAGTAACTAGGTATGGGCTACCATGATTGAAGATGTGGTGAGAGAAACAAGTTCACTTTATCTATCATAGTAATACCTCAACACTTGATCTTGCTAGTAGAAACATGTATTTCAGATTTGAGTATACATTGTAATGTAGAATGTATTACACAAATGAAATTGGTATTTTAATCGAAAGAAGGGGTTCCCTACAGAAATTTTGAAATAGCTCCATGGTTACACAATTACTTAAGGTGAGAAAATGAGAAAATATTTACAATTCTTGGAAAACTTAATACAGTAAAGTAAAGCACTGCTATGAGAAGATGTCAGGTTTTTTGATGAGTGCACTTTCCTTCTCCTATACTTGTACTGTGTTAGACGCAGTCCTCCTCAGCGCATACCTAAGAATATCTCCATTCAGAACACACAATTTTTAGCTGTTTACCTATAGAAGATGTTGTCTTTTCCATGCTTCTATATTGTTGATTTTTATATGTAAAGGTGATCCGCCAGAAGATCCTTGAGTTTTTGAGTCCTATATCGTTACCCCACGGAACCAACCTTCTGGCTGCTGTGGGCGTGGCCTGGAATGATCGCATGCGAAAAAATGGAGCCTCGTATAAGAAGGTTTGTGTTAAAACAACGACCTTAAGTTTATAAAAGTATATGATTTTATTTCAAGATTGATTTTTTGATTTTAGCATCATCAAATATTTATTGTTAGCCAGTTACTGTAAAGTCATATATTTTCATGAGGCTGAAATTTCATGGTTTTCAAAAATAATGTTTTCTTTGGCACATGATTTTGTGGATAAATCAAGTCCGCAAAATCCACTAGTACTATAATACACTTGTACTATAATCCATGCCAATTTTTATCTGTGTCATTTTGTGTACATAAAAATTGGTGGATTAATTTTTTTATTTCACAGATTCAATTTTGGTGATTATTTTAATTTACCGTGAAAAAGCGAAAATAACATCACAACCAAAATATCCAGTTATACAGTAGTCTATACAAGCTGTAATGAAGGAAATTCATTGTTCTTTTTCCACTGTAAGACATACCTGTACCATTGTTTACTGTTTTCTAGGGGTCAGTTCCAGCCACAGATGACCAGTTACTGTTAGTGGACCTGGTCAGTGCCATTAAAGTCCTCCCTACAGACACACTCGTGCAAACTGTCAAGCAGGTGTTGAAACAGCCTCCGCCAACCAACCTCAGCCGAACCAGGGTAGGTACATCTTAGAAACAATACACCAAAACCTTCTTCAAGGGGATAAAAGGTCAGATTGTATTACCATATTTTCCATATTTGTGTTCTTGAAAAGTACTGTAAAATAGTCTTTGTGGTCCCTATTTCCTGTTACATCTATTTTGATAACCATGAACTTGACTGTTGAGAAAATGCAAAACCTTGAGAAAAAATTAAAAAAATTAATAAGTAAAATCACTTAATTCTGTTATTGTTTTTACTTAAGAGGGTTTTTGTGTTTTGTTTCACTGTTTTCGATGATGGAATACTTTGGCAAAATGAAAGGAAATCCATTTTATATGATACATCCGTTTCCTTCAAGTTTATTTGTTCTACCAAAAAAAAGATTGTGTGTTGTATAAAGTGTTGTGTAGGGCATAGCATGATGTAGTTAATTTCTTTTTATTAATTACAGTTAAAAATAAAATCTTTTGTTTGATTTTTTTTCCATTTCAGAAAAGCATACCACTGGAGGTGAACATGCTTCAGTTTTTCTATGCCTATGTACAGCAGACATCAGCTAGTCAATTGGTGGATTCATGGAACGCTTTGTGTTCTCTACTACGAGACAGTCTTCAACTCAACCTTCTACCACCCGGGAAATTTATACTCTTACAGTAAGTATACAATGCATTGGTTCACTTGAGGTGTACCTTGATGAGTGTTGTAGTTTGGCAATGTAATGCATTTGTTTAATTGCTACCTGGATATTTTGATAATGAATTCACATATGCTATATAGTAGGCTTTGATACAAAATTTATACAGAGTTTGGTCAGCTTACCTTACCTACAAATTTTGTTTCTGTTGATAAAAAAAATATTGTTATGACTTATCAGAGCATAATTGTTCAGAAAAATGTTTTTTGAAATTTGTGCTGAGAGGAAAAGTGTTTGTAACCCCTAGAGTATTGAGGATAGTTTTGGAAGCACAAAGAGGAAGTCTCTTTCTCTGAAATCCTTTAAGTTGTAATATTTTGATAAGAAGTACATTCTGTATGGATAATACATTATTGCGCTTGGTTACAGAATTCTGAATGAATTTGTCCAGAAGATGCCGTCAATGGAAAACAAGAAAAATCAAAAAGAGTTACAGGTTTGTGGAGGTTTATTAGTATAAACAGTAACAAGCACAGGGGGCCAACGTACAAACTCTGACTCAACGTCAGAGGGTGGGCTTATTACAAGACATGGATTGTAACATTGGTTATAAATTTGTTGAGGGTCCAACATACAAACTCTGACTCAATGTCAGAGGGTGGGCTTATTGCAGGACAATGCAATGTTATTTGTTTTCTACCAACAAAATGAATACGAGTGGGCTTTTATCAGATGTGGGCTTATTGCTGAATATATATAGTAATGTGTTACACTTTAAATATTGTTTTATATAATTATATTACAGTAATATAAGCTCAGAACATCTCCTTGCCAGCAACAGTTATAACGGGTCTAGAACAACAGGCATTTCAAAATATCAGGAAATATTGACTGGTAGGCTTTATCAGACACACAAACTATACTTATAGAACATATAAACTAAGGTTAATGCATCTTTGTCCGGTGATAATAAATGGTAAACACAGAATAGAGGACAGCTGATGAGGCTATATCAAAATGATTCACTTGGCTTAAGAATGACCAGTACGTTTTTTTTAAGCTAATACAGAAGAATGACAAAAAAATGTACAAACGTTTTTTTGGTGCCGTTTTAGGACATCACACAGAAGTTACTGGAGGCTGTAGGATTAATTGCTGGTTCCTCTCTGGAGCAGACTACCTGGCTTCGACGTAATCTGGCAGTCAAACCCGGCCCACAGACTGACCGACCAGAGATGGATGACGAAGATGTTGGCGATGATGTAGAGATGGGTAATGATTAGTGTTTTGGTGTAGTTATGTAATTGAGTAAATATTTACACCAAGTACTGGAGCAAATTCTAGAAATGTATTACCTAACATCTTGATTACCACATTTCCATATAAGGAAAACTCATCTTACTATCGATATAGAATTACGATAGATGGATAACCCTATGTTTTAATCTTTGATAGACGAGGTATCACTAGTGTTGTTCTCATGCAGAAATAGAGATATCATAGTTGTACTACGTGCCCGGTATAGTATGATATACCATTAAAACTAGGGAAGTGTTATAGCATTCAAGGAATTTTTTCTCTTCTTATTACAGATTCCGAAGAAGCGGTCAGGGAAAGACGAGTGATGGACCCTAAACTGACCAGTGCTGTGGACTCAAAGTACAGTGTTCAAGCTTTGTCCATCCTGGCTGAGGTAGGTCTAAATGTTACAATTTCATTATCAGTCCAGGAGAATTTCAGAGGGTATATAGTATATTTCTGAAAACCCACAAAAATTAAGCCCCACAAAAAAATGATAAACTCATATTGTAATAGGATGTTAATTATTTTCTCGTTCTAGCTGACATCTCCCCTGTTAGATGTGGTGTACAGTAGTGAAGAAAAAGACAAAGTGGCTCCATTCCTGACGACCATCATGTACAACGTTTTCCCCTATCTACGTAACCACACGTATGTCTGCAACATGCCATGTCATATGGAAACACATTCAAATTCTCGTCATATGCACACATACAATACAAAATTTTCATGACCCATGAGAGAAATCTTCAATCACCCGAGACAGATTATGGTAATGGAAATGTTTGATAGTACATGGATATATGAATAAGCCATATGGATATTATATATGTTGGAATAAAAAAATAGTTGATATCATTGATATGTAATTACCAAAGTAAATATATCTGGTTGAGAGGGGTCACATGAAATTACCACCTTCTGTAATTTCTGGCTTTACTCTGAACATGCATCGTATGGAAATATTAGATTTCACATTTTATGATTGTATTAACCTAGCAATTGGTAAATCAAGGTGAAAAGTTCACTTTTGAAGGTCAAATCCTAAATTTTGATTGCACATATGTGATATAATTATCTTAACAATTCATAAGAAATATAACAACATAGCAACTATACTACTGAAAAAATGGACGTTTTATTTTCGATTGAATTTTTATAGTTTGAAAGGAAAAGGATTTATTTCTTTCTGTAGTCACAAAACAGACCATTTTTTTTTATCAATTTCATTTTCAGTATATCTATATTTTTTGTAGCATGCTCCCAAATAGTGAAAAGTTTTTGAATGCCTCGAGAAAGACAACATTTACTATATATCTTTTGATCAGTCTGTTATCTTGACTTTGACTTTGATTTTCTTTAGATCACACAATCTTCCGAGCTACAGGGCTTGTTCTCAGATCCTTGCAAGTGTGAGTGGGTACCAGTACACGAGAAAGGCATGGCGTCGAGAGGCCCTGGAAATGTTACTTGACCCTGGATTTTTCCAAATGGATGTTAAGTGTATCGGGTACTGGAGGAGCATCATTGACAACTTGATGACACACGACAAAACTACGTTCAAAGATTTAATGAGTGAGAATTTAGACAACCTTAGTCACAAAAATATCTAATTACCTTGAAAACGAAACAAGCTGTAGCAAAATTGAATATCAGTGTAATGATTATAACTGATGCAAAACATATGAAAGGAAAATTATTTTATAATAAATATTGAGTTTTTAGTGATTATGTTGACAACCTGTTATCCAGGATTAGTCCGTAGAGCATTTGCCAATGTGAACTCAGGTGAAGATCTGGGATACATGGTTTGATGCTTCCTACCCATGGCGTTTTTTGTTTCCAAGGAAATTGAAAAATTTCCTGAGAAAATGGCCCAGTCTGCACAGATAACATTGTGTCCTTGGTCAAAACACTTTAACCCAGTTGGTCTGGATGGCATGTGAGTGGCCTTCTGTATGTTGCTACTTAAATGAGATCCCAACTCAAAATGCCTCTGGCTGTTCACAGGTCAATAAATTGATTAAACAAGGGCATTTTTCTAGAACGAGAAATTAACATGACGACGATTTACTATTTTGTAGGCCGTGTGACAGTGACTCAGTCTGGGTCACTTAGTCTCTTCAGTAGCAAGGAATTGGAACTGGAGCAGAGGAGTCATATGTTGAAACGTCTAGCCTTCACCATTTTCTGTAGTGAGCCTGATCAGTACCAGAAATCCATGCCAGAGATACAAGGTACTGTGTCCTTCAACAAAACCGTTAAAGTTAAAATGAAGTGATTTTTACAGAAGACATTGGGTGGATTATAAAGTTTTACAGAAGACATTGGGTGGATTGTAAAGTTTTACAGAAATCATTGGGTGGATTGTAAAGTTTTACAGAAATCATTGGGTGGATTATGAATTTTTACAGAAATCATGGGGTGGATTATGAATTTTTACAGAAATCATTGGGTGGATTATGAATTTTTACAGAAATCATTGGGTGGATTATAAAGTTTTACAGAAATCATTGGGTGGATTATGAATTTTTACAGAAGTCATTGGGTGGATTACAAAGTTTTCTCAATAATTCATTTCAGTTGAAAAAAAATCACTTTTTGCATTTTCTTACTATTGTCAAATAGAGATAAAAAATAGTAGTACATGTAAAGTTTTTGCTTCAGTTTGATATTAATACATGTATGTTATTTGAACGTAGTGTTCATCGTAACTTGGTGTCAAATGAAAATTAAACTATTCTATGTGTTATAATTTTGTATTTGTTTACTCAGAACGTTTGGCAGAGAGCTTGCGACTGCCACACCAAGTGCCGTCAATCATGGCTCAAGTGTTTGTCTGTTTCCGTGTGCTGATCCTACGAATGTCATCCCATCATCTCACATCACTCTGGCCGACAGTCATCACAGAAATGGTAATGGCCTCGTCACTGGTCACAATGTGCTACTACTTAAACATCTATTACTATCTTACAAATTCTATCAAAATATTCATGGGTCTAAAGATGAAAAACTTCTGATTGAATTTAACCTACAGAGATCATGATCTATATTAGCATGTATTTATCACATAACTAACATGCTGTCTCATGTCGTACTGTCATGTCATAGGTATTGTAAGACATGTGTAAGATAGTTGTGACGTCATGATCAGTCTCATCTTGATGAAGTCACTTGATTGTCATGGTAGTGAAAAACATACCATCTGTATTAAAAGAAGTTGGTCTCAAAGGAAATTTTATTGGAAAACTTCACTTACTACAGGTTATTTGATAAATAGAATCTTATACTCATATCAAATGTTAGTTACATATCAAAGTAATGAAATTAATTAATGGTTCCATTTTGCAACAACATTCATGTTAGATTCTCAGTATATCATCAGCCCATTTTTGATATTTTTGATAAACATGAACGACTTTGATATAATATTGGTCACATAAGTAATAAAAAGGAAATTATCCAATATTTTATCACTGGATCCCATAAACGTCAATAGGTCTTAGGGTCAGTATATGACTTCTGACCCAAGTCAGTATTCAGACTTATCATAAGACAATGAAACATCATTTGTTAGTACAAATTTCCAATTAACGACATTATGGGTGGACGTATTATTATGCCTGGGCTTATTGACAGATATATGCTAATCATTACTGTGATATTTCAGGTCCATGTATTTATGCAGATTGAACAGGAAATGTCCAACGACACAGAAGAGTATAAGTAAGTGTTTGACCAGTCTCATTATCACAGGAAAGGCTTTCTCAATGCATCACTTTTGAAGGCCAAGGTCTACATGTCATTTAGAGTCTGATCTTGTCAACTCCTTCATTCAAATATTTTTCTTATTCATGCAAAGCTCATTGAGGATAATGCATCTTGAGCTCTACTTTTAATTTGTTTCAAATATGTGATGAAATTAAAGGGAAAATTATCTTTTGAAAAAATGCTTTGCTTATGGTCAGTGCTGTTTTGACCCTGTAATTTCATCTGTAAAATAAAATTCTGGTTTACTGTTGGTGGGTCACAGTATTGTTTGTCAGTGTGTAAATCTTGTCAACAAAGGATTGTCCTGTTTTTGTTACATGTTTGTTTTATATGTAATGTGCTGAAATGTATTGTTGGGTGAAAGTACTTCTAGCATCTTTAGAAGGCATGATTTTTTTTTTTTAATTCACCTATTTGATCAAAGGGAAAACAAGCATTTTCATTTTAGCATTGGGACTGTTCCTGTAAACTGTCTACTTGACCCCAAGACTCCAGACTAAATCACTCCTTTCAATGGTTCGGTTTCCTGCCAATTTCTTCAATGCAAATTATCAATTAAACTCTATGAGTGGCTCCACTTAACACCTTTCAATTCCTGGGGTCAAGTAGATGTTTCACTGTAATAGCCCTTAGATAGTGTTTGAAGAAACTTCTGGGCATTGCTTAAGTCCAAAGTCTTAAAGTGGTTGAGGGTTTAAGAAGAGGTTTGCTGAAAATGTGGCATGGTATTTTGTATGTAAAAGAAAACTTCAAAATGCTTTATAAAATTTTGTCATTTTAGGTAACTTTTCTATTGTGTACCGGATTGAACTTTATTTATTTATTATAACTAGAAGTGATTTTTTATGCATTGTATTTTCTCAATCTTTACTAAGTTTTCGCTGTGTCTGATTTGTCTCTGTAGCCACAACGTTAGCCAGCGACCGCGGAGTAACACACAGCCCTGGACAAGGTTATAATGACCGTCACTCTAGTTCTAGATATTACTTTGTTGTGTTTTTCAATGTCTAACTTTTAGTAGGATTCTAATTAGTAAAAATCACAGAATTAATTTTTTTTAGTGTTTACACTGTTTTAGTTTTGTTCAAATATATCATTGTTAAGTTAGAAGATAAACAAATATAAAAAAGTTTGAAAACTGCTGTTGAAATTTTAGTTTTGTTCAAATAAATAATCATTTCTAATTAAAGGATAAATGAAAAAATATAAAATATTTGAAATTTCTCTTTAAACAATACTTGATAAATAGATAAATCAGATTCTGTTTCCTTAGACTTAGAATGTTCCTTGCCTGCCCTACATGCATATCTCCATATAAAATATTATATATCCTGATAAGTATTATAATATATGATTTGGCATGTTAAAAGAGGAGGCTGAATGCATGCTAAATAAAATTAATATTTTGTCAAATGTGACATGCTGATCTAGATGGTCCTGTCTATGATTATAAGCTTGTTCATTTCATTACCTTGGACTTCTCTTCATCATTAAGGTTGCTCTCTTAATTTCTGATCTGACCTTACAACAGAAAATTTCTTAAACATGTACATTATCATTACTAATCATGATTTTATTTTGGAGATGTATGATAGGCTGAAGTGTGTCGTGACTACATATATATATTCTATAATTTTGCTACTTCTCTGCTACTCCTTTAACTCTTAATTCTGCAATTCAGGTGGTAGAAAGAAAAATTAACAGATTATTAAAAAAAATTAAGTGATTACCTTCACCTCAATTACAGGAAAGTTTAACAACAATTTATCAAATGATATTGATTACTCACTACTTTCACTCAAATCAAATTGACTCTAAATTAAAGATTGGTTCAGAGTGCATTTTTTGCTTTTGGAATATATTATCACATTCTGTTTGTTTCTATTAGAAGAAAACATTACCATTAGAATGTGTAAAGTCATCTTGTGTCAATTGTGAGCTGTCGTAGGATTGGACAATTTATTTAGGATAAACCCACTTTCAAAAAACAAGGTTTTGTAGCATGTACCTGATTCTTCAAAAGTATGATGTTTTAATTTTTTTTATTACACTTATTTTTCATGAAATAAAATGATAGATAAATAAATGAATAGATAAATAAATAAATTAGATAGATAGATAAATAGGAACTCGTCTTAAATTATTTTACACCACTTTCATAGACACTTAAACGTTTCAATAAAAACAGGTAAATAAGTTTGGGTTTCATCACAAATCGTTGAATAGGAGCCTTATCTTACTCTGATGATGTAACAGAAGAAATCCAGAAATTATACAACACCCTTCCCACGCATGTTGATGTTGTGTTACTGTCATGAAATTTAAACTTCATCAGATCATGGACATAACATGATCAATGTACCTTTGTATTCATTCAGTGATATTATTATATGTTTGAAAATAATGCGCACCAATATCGATATTGCTGATCGGTATGATTAACAGGAAATACTATTTCATTGTCCTGGAATAAGCCCACTCATGGACTTGAGTGTGAGGTGACATGTTTACCTCATGGGCTTATTGCAGAATAAATACGGTAACCGACTATCTCTGAAACAACCAAATACCCTATTACACCTAATCCATTCCCTGTCACCTATATTCACTCCGTGTTCTCCTGCCAGGCTTTCCACCCTAGCTGAAAAAATCAGAAAAGAAAGCACCCTTTTTTACAGAACAATTTCCTTGCTTTCCAGGTGAAGATTCCTTTATGGAAACAGTCTTTAAAAAAAAAAAAAAAATAAAAAAAAACAACAATAAAACATCTACCATGAACTGGTAGTTGCTTAAAAAAAAAAAAATAAAAAAATTGATGTTCTAAAATTTTTCACTTTCAATGTTTGGAAAAAAGCTATATAGGGACATTTCAACCTTCATATAAGAGTTTAACTGGCCAGCACTCAACAAGTCTCGTGGTGACTGGTCAAAGTCTTAAACTCAAGTTGATATATCTCAATGGGAACATACTCGTATAAGATTCTATTCATCATAAACACTTTCTCTGTCAAGTTAGTCTGAATAATGGCTGTTTCATCTTATTTTGTTATATGATACGTTAGAACAATATGCCTGATGTCCTTGTAATGAGCTTGAAGCATGACAATAATTTATGTAAACAACGTATCTATTGTAATTTTTTGATTTTTGTTTTTGTGTTTGATAATTTTTTTTGTAGAAAATTTTTAGCAGTGTTTCCAAAAATGGTAATTGTTATGTAGCTCAGCATATATTGCTCAATTTTTTCTCTTTTAGCAACTTTTCTTGAGAATGAATGACAAATTGATAATTCAAATATTGACCAAATTAATGAAAATGGGTTTCTTTTTGTGATCTTGGTCATATATCATAATTACTCTTGTTCTTTCAAATCTTTCTCTATCTTAATATTGGATTGATGATAACATTTAAGCACTGTTCCTATCTTAATTTAATATTGTTTTGTTTGTGTACGGGTTTGTTGTCATGTTAACAGCCAGTGTCATTTTGAGATGGGGTCTCCCTGTAGCAGCTGGTGGCTATTTCACTAAACAACATATTTCATTCTGATATTCAATATTTTACTATTCTTAAAGTTTCTTAAAAAACATCCACATCCAAAAACATCATGTAAGATATAGGAAAAGATCCCCTTCATAATGTTTTGGTATTTGTAGAATGAATATTTTTAATTTCATATAATTATTTTTTTTTCATTTTATTTTGTCAGATGAAAAATGTAAATCCCACCAGGGGTAAATTAGCTTATCTATCTTTAAGTATTAAGTATAAGTTGATACAAGACGGAATGATATCCCTTATATCCAGCTGATTAATGGAAAAGTAGCCCTCGATGAAGTTTAAATGTTTATAAGTAAAGAAATTAGACTTGATCACGTAAACCTGTCAATCATTTATACAACACCAGCAGAATACAGTTGGTTAATGTAGTATGAATATCACAGTTATGTTTTGGAGTTCATGAAATGAAGACATTTTTTTTTGTTTTTTTTTTTTTGTTTTGTAATTTGTTTTGCATGTGTTTATATAAAATAATTCCTGACTTATCTTTTCAGGATTGTTGATTATTTACTTACTTTGTACAGTATATAGACGTACTTAAACATTTCCAAATGATAATGATGTATCTGTATGTACCCTTCCCACAATTCACCACTGCAGTAGGTCCAGCCAATGTCCTGTCCTTTAGTCATCTCCAATCAATAGCCTACTTCAGTACAATTTACACATCAGAAGTCATTTTCAGATCTCTGCACCAATTTGTTTCTGTTTGTCAGTGCCCTCTTTTCTGTAGACTTTTTCCTGTTCTTACTGACAGGCCGAGGGTATTAATAAAAAGTCAATCAGTTCTTAACTTAATTCCTGGTTCATTGGTAAATACATATACTATTTTGCTTCTAACACTGTGCTTATAAATGATATTTAAAACTAAAATAAAAAGTGATACTCTCGCAGGATTATTTTACTGATTTTTATATGACACAGTTTAGTTTTCAAAAAGTTATGTTTGAAGTAACTCATCAAATGAAGTGATGCATCATCTTTATGTGTTACTTATGTGTCTTTTTTATGTGTTACATGTGCTTGTCTAAGTGAAATCTTCACCGTTATTTCATTCAGGCCTGTATATCTTTGTTAAGATTATCTCCCTTTATGTTGTATAGGACACAGATCCAGAGAATTGCAGCCCTGGACTCGACCTGGGCCCACTTTGGTAATGGATTAAATGCACACAACAACCCTGCCTGGCTCCAGTTGTATCTTAGTGTATGTAAGCTGCTGGACCTTGCCCTGGCTCTTCCTGCCGATGTTGTACCACAGTTCCAGCTGTGAGTGTACATCAATGCTAATCTGACTTTGCCAGAAATGGCAGAATTCATTCAAAGAGTCCAATGTTATATCATTTATGCTATAGATTCTCATTTAATGTTGTAACTAATTTTATAAAATTTATTAAGAACAAAATGTGAAAACCATGTCCCCCAGTAAATGTGTACATGTGTTGTACAGACCATGGAGTCAGGATTTTGGGATAGTTCCTGTGAACAGTGAGTGGTTAAGGAAAACACTTTACCATATCCAGTTATAATTATTTCATGAATTTATAACAGTAAACTTTTCCATTTTATCAGCTTTAGGGCTTTTTTCTCACAGCCTGCAAATTCAAATGGAAAAATCCGAAACCCAGAATTGAATTGTAATTGATCATACACAGGTACCGTTGGGCCTTCATTGGTGGGGCTGCAGCAGGAAACCAGGAGGAAGAGGAAAAAAAGGAAATTAACAATGACAAGAAGGAAGAGAAAAGGAAAATCCACAAAGCTCGAACATTTGTACCTCACATCATCCGTCTCACTAAACTGATCAATGAAAGGGTAAGGTTCATACTGATCTGTTTATTACCAGAAAGTAGTGTGATGAAAACTTATATAACAGTTATTATTCAGAAACTTTTTTGTGGAGGTCAGTTGATTTTTTGGTCATCTGACCCTATTGCGATTGCCGTTTGTCCTGGGTTGTCCGTCGTAAACATTTTCAACTTCTTATTAAGTTCTACATGTCTCATTGAGCTGAAACTTACCTGAAATGATCGTGACATGATCTTGACCAAAGTTTGTTAATTTCGGGTTGGTCCAAAATCCAACATGGCCACCATCTTGAAAACACATTTTTGACTTCTTCTGAAGTTCAAAATTTGAAATCTTGTATATTATGTCAGATGACTGTTAAGGCCCATGGGCCTCTTGTTCCATATTATTTTTTGATTTGGGAATGGAAGCATTGCGTAATAGGTTTTGAAATATTACAAATTTTACTTTTCTTGGTGTTTTGCATAAAAACTTTGTGTCTTTGAAATATAGTGTTATGCATCCTAATCTCAAAAAAGTGTTAACAAATATGTGTACATACAAAATAGTGACAAGGACTGAGTTGATTCTAAAAAGCTAACATATAGTCATCTTGGAGACATTCAGGAAATTTTGATATCATACTTCTGTTATAATAGGGTTATAATCAAAGCGCAAAGTCAAGGACAACTCTGACATTACATATCTATATTTAATACAATTTCTGCTCAAAGTTGGCTTCTGTTTGTAAGCTGATCAGAAGCTGAGTGCTGATAGAACCATCGCAGAATCATGGCAGTCTTTGTGATATCACAAGTTTCATTTCTCTATTGTATGTAAAGTTTTCTTCTTAAAGTGGAGGTTTGTTTTGTAAAGTTCCATTGTGATGACCAGACTTCAAGTTGATGAGTTTGGTAAAAACATATACCTGTACCAGGTATGTGAATGAGGTAGTGTTATACTTTCTGATCAGTTTGATATGTTGCTGATTTGAACATTTTTCGGGAACAAAGACTTTACGATATATGAGTGTATGCCAGGATATCAAAGTAACTATTTGTTCGATATACATTGTATTTGCTATTTTTACATTCCTGGTGTATTACAGACACGCGGTGCCATGCCAGTCCTAAAACAGACCCCAGGCCGTCCCCTTCTGACTCAAACCTACCTACGATCACTAAATGAGCTACAACCATTCTTCAATACCCTTTGCTGTAGCCAAACCGAAAGCAAGTTTGTTTCAACGAAACGCTCTGACAATGCCAGCAGAACCAACCAATCAGGAGCCAGTTCTAAACATCATCAGACAGCTAAGTTGTCAGCCATGCCAAAATCTAAATCTACCACAGAGATTGGGAAGAGCTCAGGGGCTATGTCAGACCCGCCGCTTGTCTCAAATACAAAACATTGTAGACAGTACATAGAAGAAATGCTAGAGAGAGATTTCTTAGAACCACTTCCAGACATGTAAAGGCAATCTGACTGTCGCATCTGTATTTTTCAGAAAACGTCTGAGTTGTTCAAATGTTTGAAATATTTTCTCCGAAAACAGAAATTCAATCTGCTTTTCTGTTGAAGTCCATGTATTTGTGTAGCAATTTGTGATAAAAGTAAGATATCTAGTTTTACTTGTATTGACAAAAGTGACTGAATTTGTTAAACTGAACAATGTATTTAGTAATATACTTAATTTAATACTATACTAGGTATTTGCTTAACCACCTGAGTTGTTCAGTTGTGTAAGGCTAAATATTTACTTGACCAATATATTGCCTTTTGTATATGATGTTTAAGTGATATATATTTATAGTATTTAAAATAATTCAAGAATATTAATTAATTACTGTTATACATGTATTTGATTTTAAATAATAGATTGTTAAGTACTAGATTATATCAATTTACCTCGTATTGCTGTTAACATATTTATTTTAGTGGTAATGTTATTTTAGCGCTTTTCTTTCGGAAACTTTTCTGCGTAAATATGATACCACAAATTGCATCCTTAATATACTGTTTATGTAGCAGTTATTGCTGATGCAAGAATTCATCGTTGCGCTAATTTGGCAAAAAATGATAATCTGCTAAAATTTCATTGCGCCAAAAATATTTATGTATACAGTATACAGTGTTGGTGAGGGTTCACAACTACAAATAGTTAATTATGTAGTATATACTTTTTTTTTTGTATTAGCCATGTTGTTCTGTCATCAATTTTAATCCAAAAGCTTAATTGTGATAATGATTTTGTGAAATAAGATGTTAAGATATCAAAGAAATCAAGCTTGCCCTAGTGCCTTAACCACAGTGTGCATGAGACCTGTTTAGTGTATTGTGTAGACTGTGGGACATCACCAGAACACTGACATTCCTCTGTGAGTTGATGCCTAGAGATAGAAAGAGTCACAGAGGCGGAACACTTGTCACCAAGCAGTATTGACTCCGACCGGGAGTATATGTTAATGAATATTAAATGAAGATAAATATTTTGGTTAAGATTAATAGTATCTAAGTTCTTTGATAGAGTTACCAGCTCAAAACATCTTTACATCCAAGTGCCATCGATAGATTGTAGTCAAATGAAAACTGCTGGGATTTTTTTTTCAGATATTATAAAAAGGCGTTGTAAAAAATCACATTTACAATCATGCTGTTTTTATCTACTGGTACTATATACAAAGAGGAAGTCATATGTCTGATAAAATCAAAACACTATAATCTTTATTGTTGTACAAACACATGTAACCAAATTAAGCTTTTCTTTTTCTTTTTAAGAAAAAAATTAACTATATTACATTGCCAACAATTTGTTTCTATAATTGACTTTGTTAATGACGGTGCAATCATGTATATACAATAATTATTGTGCAATCAGCTGTTGTATGTTTATGATAATTGAGCTGACAGCTAAAAAACCTGTAATCTGAGACATTTTCTGCAGTGATAGAGTCATATACTTGATTGTAAAATGTAATATGTATGTATATTGTGTAATCAAGTCATTCACTGTGATTAATTCTGCCAGGTTCTGGGGTACCTTGAACATCTGAAAATTGTCACTATGGGTTTTCTTGAGTGAAATAGTTTGTTTAACAGGGATTCTAGTCTCATGGAACAGACATGTCCTGTTATTTATAACAGAGCTGATCAGCAACATACATCATAGATGATTAATACTTTACATGGGAAAATATCATGTCAATTATAAAAGACTTTTGGCGACAAAATGAAAATATTGTAAAGTCAGATCTACTTGTGGTGCTTCAATTTAGAATTTTTGAAAAAATCATCATTTGGTTGGAACTTGATTTATAGATGAATAATTCTGACAAATTGATGTTAGTTTTTTGTCTCTTTATCATTTTGTGGTCCTGTATATCTATGGATTGACAATACTTTAGTTTGAAATTAATGTAAATTTAAACCTTCCATAAAAGTTTCTCGTGTAGAATCACATCTTCTGTGGTGCTGTGAGGTATCTGTAAACTGTATCATAGTATTTACACTTTTACCTGTATTAAAACTTTCATTAGGGGTAACCATTTTTGAATAGCTTTATCAGATTAACAGTAACATTAAACAATGTACTTGGCTTTATTGACAATTTTTATTTAAAAATATAATATTCATAAGATGTATTAAAATTAGCAGTATAGACATTTTAATCGATTATGTTTATATGTCATATTTAATGAAACAAAGTTATATTCAGTACTTGTAGATATGGCAATTTTGTACATTCTGGTCAAAAATTGCTTTCTAGATGGTAAGGAGACAGTTATACCCAGAGGTAAGTAAATGATTCTTACATACGAAGTATACGCTAGAAAAAGAACGTCACAACATCAAATATATAAAATGATGTATCATAAAAAAAAAACAGAAAAATTTACAAAAAAAAAGAGAACAGAACAAAAATACCATCTTTATCAGTAAAACCAAGTAAATGATCGTGACCGTGACAACTGTACGACATAGTGACAGTAGTTTTCAGATAAAATGGAACTTTCATGTTATAAAAGCCTGCTTCTCAATATTTTATCTGTCTAATGTAAAATTATGAAATATATGTTGATTTTAAAAAATTGTTACTGTGAGATCTCTTGAACCTATCGACTATTTATGGTGAGTGAAAATCACTTCAGCTTGTAGTTTTATCTGTCAATATCAAATGTCAGCTGGTTGTGTGGGTGTTGCTTGTCTGATATATCAGCAAATCGTAGGAACCAGGTTGTGATTACAACTCAAATTTTATGTGTTCTGTAGTAGCATGACATCAGTTTTTTCTACAGACACATAGATTATAAACTTTATTTATTTTTACAACAATTACGAAATAAGTTATTCAAACTTATATTTATAATTCTTGTTGGCCTGGATGAAAATGTGGATGTAGTTTTACTGTTGTAGGAAACCTGATTGTATGTGGAAAAGCAATGAGGTTGCACAGGTGACCTTTCACATTTTTCATGTCGATTCAGGGAGTTGAATCCTAGATGTCTAGACGAGAGGCACACCTGTAACCACAGTGCTATCTGACAATCTGCTGTAGATATACGATACATTCCATAACATGTTCTTGCCGATGTGAGTTAGTATCTTTATTAGCAACAACTGTGTAGAAATGTGACTGCCATGGTGATGGAAATGATCAATTATCCTCATTCTGTGGCATATTAACAAAGTTATTTTGATTCATGCTGACGAAAGTTAGGAAAATAAATCCCATCAAGTGCACAAAAATTTTTGAAATTAATAAATTTTGTATTTATCCAGCAATAAGCCCATATTTAGTAATAAGCCCACCCATATCTATCACTGTTCAATAGCATTTGTCAGATAATCTATTTCAGTGTCCGGTAATAAGCCCACCCTCTGACTGAGTCCGAGGTAATTTGGTGGGGCATGGGCTTAACGCAACATTGTTACTTGTTCCTTATATGTAATATGTACCACAATAAAAACAAAGAGAAAGACGAAATCTCCTCTGTTGTCTAGAGGTACTGAAATATGTTTGATGTATCTATTACAATAATTGCTTTATCGCTAGTAGTTTCTCTATATATCTATAAATAGATAGTTAGATATCGTATCAAATTTCTCTGATCTCTATACTTGTATGTTAATGACATTGTTTTGTTTTGAAAAAAAATTCTATAAATAGTTCAGCTGTTTTTGCTTTAATTTCCCTTTTTTTCTGGCTCAAGATTATTTGTTGACACTTTCTGTTATTTTTCTTTGTTCCATGAAAATGTGATCAGTTATGAAATTTATTTATTAGTCCTGTTAAATAGAAATCACTCCTGTTATTTTAGTTTTGTTTCAAATATCTTTGCAAGCAATAACTGATTTTTTTGTATGATTTCTCAATGTCTTCTTTGACAGTATTCTGTAGAGTGACCTTCATGTAAATAGACAAAGAAAGTTGTCAGTTAGGACACATTTTATTAGGTATTCTTACTACATATGAGACTGTGATAGATAGCTGACTCAGTAGAGCATTGGACATTGCAATCACATTTGAAAATCTGAGATGTTTGGTCAAGCCTTACTCAGAGGTTAGGCGGGGTCGGAGGTCACTTTGTCTAAATGGGCAAGACATGTTACCCAAAGTATATTGGCCCTCCTGCATGGAAGGTGTGAGGTGAAGTACCAGCTGGTACAAAAATAGGCCAAAGGGTTCTGACAATATGCACGGAGATTTTTTTTTGTCTTTGTTGTCGCCAGCAACTGTGACCAAGGTATAGCCGCAGATTGATTTTCAGAACCCCTCAGTCTAGTACAAGAAGACCAGCACTCAATATATCACCCTTGTTGTTCACAGAGTGATGCACCCAGTAAACAACACTACATACACCTATAAAAGGAAACATTTTCAGCTATTACTACTGGTTTGAGCAGCTTAGTAGGTAATGACGGGTGCTTCTGGTAGATAATAGGAATATCATCATAACTCATTTTCAACTTTTTCCAATTATCTTTTCAAATATAGTATTCACTTAAATGAATTAATGGGAAAAATATGTTTCATTTCCATGTTAAAAAGTATTGTATTATTTGCTTGGAAGAGGAAAAAAACTCATCTGTACAGTATTCCAGCTAAACCATCTATACATTATTTTTGCTAACAAATTGAACATCATTCTTCTAAACTGCACTGGGAGGGTTTTCTATTGTCTTAAGACTTATTTGTATCTTCAACATTTTCATGTAAAAAGTTATCTCCCCTTATATAGTATTACATGCAGGTCACCGTTTTCTCTCATCCTTAATTCTTTAGCCTCTTTAAGGTCTTTGCACAATTTAGAGTATGTATTTTACCTGTTTAAATAACAGTCTAGTATAGATTAAAGATATGAAGTTTGCTTCTGTAACAAATAAGTATTTGTGGTCTTTTTTTTTTTGCCTACTGTGATAAAACCAGTGTGCATGTTTTTTCCTTAGTATTTTATGAAGTACTGTAGTGTTTTTGTTTCTTTAAATTAGATCCAATTTGATTGTATTATAATTGGTTTTTAGTAATTGTTTAATCAGGATTTAAGCTTGATTTTAAATTGTTGATGACACGATGAGAGGAGAATTAAAATGTGTTCACTAGATATCGACACCTGTGTGGATTTTATTTTTGCATGTATTGAGAGGAGTGTTACCTAGGACAAAGGAGTTATTTATTTCAGGAACCTATGATATAGTATGTGTATCATATGTTCCTGGTTATACACAGACAACCTGACGTGATATACTAGTAAATATTGGTAATCTGTATATCATTAGAATGGGTGTTTTATTTTTTTCTGACATTAGTTAGTTACACAGTACATGATAAGAACATTCGACTGACAGTAATAATGATTCTAACAGAAGTACATTTGTATATGTGTTGTACAGGTCTCTGATTCTAATAATTTCAGTGTAAAGACTGTTCCTTACTATACAGCATAGGGACAGTACATTAGTGCTTGTTGCTGAGTTCATGAAAGAAAACCTAATAAAATAAATAAATAAACAATTTCAATAAACAAACACTTACACACACACTCCTGCCCAACTAAAAAAAAGTAAAAGAAAAAAATATAAAAACAAAACAAAACCACAGATTCAGAATAGAGTCCGTGAGAAAAAAAAATGAAAAAAAATGCAAACTTAAACACAGGGGTCTAACTCAATGAAAATGTCTATTATTCAAGCAACTTTGTTTTCAGAAGTTGGACTGGCCACAATACTTATTCACGATGAGATTTTTTCAGAAAAATATTAATTTGAAAAGTTAAACAAAATTGATGAATCAATATATTCCTCAATTTTTTTACAATACCAGTTTGGAAATTCTTTTCTTAGTCGTAAAGTGGTGGAATTCCTCTCTCCATCTATCTCACTACGGTACAGTAAAACATATTTTACGATCTTAATTGATGAAATAAGGCACAATGTTAGCCTTTTACTTGTGATTTCAAGGCTCAACTAGAGGGACCAGTGCCCACTGGGAAGTCTGATATAACTTGTTACATGTAAATCAGTTTGACTTATCCTGTAGTTACATACTAAGTATGTACTTTGCTGTATATTACTGTTGTGTGGCTGTACAATGAAATAATTTACTCGTGTCTGGTGTAATGTAGAATTGATTGAAAGTAGCCAGCGACAAGATTATCCAGATAATGACCGTTCTGTCGTACACAACTTGGTTGTTTGTTTGTGAATAGATGTCTGTTACATTCCAGATTATTTATTGACAGCCATGCATAATATATGAATTCAAGTCTTTTAAGTTGGGCTGCTCTAAATAACACATGCATTCATTTTAAGTGAAAAAAAATATACATTTATATTTTTCCGAGTGATATTGGACATAAATGCATTATAATAAGATACAGATGGGTTTTTATTGTGATATTATTTTTGATTAAAAACAAAAATAAGATGAAAAAAGAATGTAGCCTACTTAATTATTTACATGTAAATAATAGATACAGTCATCTATTATCTAGTCAAAGACCTTCAAAATGTAGGGTGACAGGATGTTTTAAAGTCATCAATGAAAATGACCTTGTAATGGTAAGTTCTGTATTATTTTTTATATTGTAGGGTATAGGTACCATATAGATGTCCTTTGTTTAAATATGTAATTAAACATCATTTTGCCTATTTTAGCTAAAAATAAAAATTTTAATTTTTTTTTCAACATAAAAAGTAAAAAAAATAACAGGTGATTCATGTTTACTTACAGGTCTTACATATGCAGCAAACTAAATTGATCTAACATTTTAAGTTAAATATCCTAAATATTCTTCAGACAAGTCGAATGTCGTGCAGCATAGATAAAAGATCCCATGTAAATAGGCCTCCGTAAATTTATTGCGTCCCTGTATGTTTAGTGGTTAAATCTTAGAGACATTGCAGATTCTACTACATTATATATTGCTTGTCTACACAGATATGTAGTCTACATTCTACACCTTTCGATCTAATTTCTTCTTCACACAGCATGTGTAACTATCTACACGAGGGCCTGTCTACAAGATATTCTATGTACAACAGTACATGCGTATGGCTGTCTACCAGAGACCGGCGCGTATTTCACACCTCCTTGTAGTCTCTAACTTACATGTTTATTCATGACGGATCCAGTTTGATAAAAACGCACAACATCAATCGTGTTTTGTCTTTGTTTGGATGGTATTCGCAGAAATAACCCGCCTATTTTCGGTTTCGATTATTGTAAACGTCCAGTTATAAGTAACGTTAGAGAATGCACTATTTGTATCGAGGGCTTGTGGCGCAATGGATAACGCGTCTGACTACGGATCAGAAGATTCCAGGTTCGAATCCTGGCAAGCTCGTACGTTTTGTTAATTTTTTTTTAGATTAAAGTTGAATCATTTTTCATTTCAGTAAACAAAAGTCGTGTCTTCGCACTTATGTTATACTGATAATTTTGAACTGGCAGTTGATATTTACTTGATGCTACAAACGCTACATTTTGTTCAAATAATTCATGAGCACTTCGTACATGTGTGAAGTTATGAACGCAAAACCCAATTGTGTGTTGTATATTTCATGAGTTCTGAAAAAAGGTAGTTAGAAATTTTGTTAAAGATATATGGTTGGACTTTTATGAACCGTAGAATGGTTGAATTATGCACAAGTTGATTCAATATAAATTTTTAACTTGACTGACTAAACCTGTTCCACTTACTTAGTTTTTAGTACTAAACACATATATATGACGTCTGTACAATCAAAATCAAACAACAGCGGCTTGTTAAGATGAGTTAATTACATATTTTTTTCTTTTTTTTTTTTTTAAAGTGGGATGGGGGTTGGGTTAGGAGGGGTGGGACGAGGGAATTAAAAACTGAAGACAACCCCTTCCCTATCTCCCACCACATCTCCAATCAGCAAGTGTATATGAACAACTTAAGTCCGTGTAATCAATCTAATGCCTTTGTCAAAATTTTGAATATTTTCAGTTTCATCAGGAATGATGGCATATGGAAATCGTATATTGTCTCAAAGTTTGCATGTTTTTACTTTTCTTTTTCACAAATAACATGAAAAAGAAGATCTGAAACAATTAATTGCTAAAATTAAACAGATTGTTATGAAACAAACTGAAAAACATGCTGGAGGACCGCCGCATGTTATCCGAAGTATCTTGCCCTAGGCCACAATTGCAACAGCCAGCTAAGTTTCCTGAGAAACAAACCAGCTCCGGATCCAACATTCATGGGAGGTTGGAACGTCCATTTTGTACCTTCTGTGCTGTCGCGGCTCTAAATTAATACTAATAAAAGAATATTTTTACCTGTTTTGGGGGTGACGTTTTGATATATCATTTTATTTCTTGGCCACATTTTTTATTCTCTCGTGCAGTTTTGTCCAAGAAGAATGTCAGAGACTGCTAGAACTCTTGTTGTTTTTCTGTTTCCAGTGTATCAAAATGTTTCTTAATATATCTTTTTCATTTTCTACAAAATTTGCATCTTTGCATCCTTAGTTTCTTGAAGCTAAATCAGTTGGTAGAGGGCACTGCTAGTGCACCTACCTTATATTGAATAGGTGTATTATCAACAGAACACACTATCTGATCAGTTTCTTGTTTAAACAAAATGTATGTTAAGCTGTAACTAGTCTGCATCTATTACTGTTACCATCCTGCATCTATTACTGTAACTGTCCTGTATCTATTACTGTAACCATCCTGTATCTATTACTGTAACCTGCCTGTATCTATTACTGCAACCACTCTGTATCTATTATTGTAACTGTCCTGTAACCACCATGTATCTATTACTGTAACCTGCCTGTATCTATTACTGTAACCACTCTGTATCTATTACTGTAACTGTCCTGTAACCACCATGTATCTATTACTGTAACCTGCCTGTATCTATTACTGTAACCACCCTGTATCTATTACTGTAACCACCCCGTATGTATTACTGTAACCACCCTGTATCTATTACTGTAACTGTCCTGTATCTATTACTGTCACCACCCTTTATCTATTACTGTTACCACCTTTTATCTATTAATGCAACCACCCTGTATATATTACTGTAACCACCCTTTATCTATTACTGTAACCACTCTGTATCTATTACTGTAACCACCCTGTATCTATTACTGTAACCACCCTGTATCTATTACTGTAACCACCCTGTATCTATTACTGTAACCACCCTGTATCTATTACTGTAACCACCCTGTATCTATTACTGTAACCTGCCTGTATCTATTACTGTAACCACCCTGTATCTATTACTGTAACCACCCTGTATCTATTACTGTAACCACCCTGTATCTATTACTGTAACTGTCCTGTATCTATTACTGTCACCACCCTTTATCTATTACTGTAACCACTCTGTATTTTATACTATAACTACCCTGTCATGTATCTATTACTGTAACCATCCTGTATCTATTACTGTAACCACCCTGTATCTATTACTGTAACCACCCTGTATCTATTACTGTAACCATCCTGTATCTATTACTGTAACCTGCCTGTATCTATTACTGTAACCACTCTGTATCTATTACTGTAACTGTCCTGTAACCACCATGTATCTATTACTGTAACCTGCCTGTATCTATTACTGTAACCATCCTGTATCTATTACTGTAACCACCCTGTATCTATTACTGTAACCACCCTGTATCTATTACTGTAACAACCCTGTATCTATTACTGTAACCACCCTGTATCTATTACTGTAACCACCCTGTATCTATTACTGTAACCACCCTGTATCTAGAGTTGTAACTATCATTTGTCTATCAATATCTGTAACATGTAAGAAAATGGTATATTCCCAATATGAATTGTCCCATTGAAGATCAAGTGACATAACAGCAAGACAAAGATTTATAATTCAATAAAAACTTTTATTGAAAATTCACATTTTGTACAATATGATTTATTGATTGACATATTGGTCCCTGTTCTATTATCCAAGTCTTTCCTATGATGCAACTGACAAAATGTATGTACCTGTCCTGGGCAAATATGTTGTTTGTACATTAACACTTTTTATTCAACATACATTTCAAAAGTAAACTAGTAATTGAACAACTTATAATCTTTTTTCATTAAAACCCAATATCATTGGGATAAAAACCACATTTTGCACCGTAACATTATTTTCATTAACAAAGACTATACCAATTAAATGTACATCTGTCCATGGTAACTACAAGACCACAACTTTCAATGTGCAGCACCTGATTTGTTTTTTTCTTGCTTCAAAGAAGTTTTTTTAATGACAAAAAAACATAAGAATGATATTTTCAGATCTATATCCGCTACAATACATGAAATAATTCCCTGGTCTTATTTCTAATTACAGTATTTTATACATGTTCAATCTATATCAGATCAGATCTATATCCACTACAAGTCTTGTAATAATTCTCATGTCTTATTTCTGACTACCCGGGGTATAGTATTCTTTACACAAACAACTTATTTGTGAATTGGTATATCTATGAACCTAACTGTTCATATCAGCCTTGGTTTAAATCAACATCTATTCCTCTTTCAAAAATGCTGTAGTTTCAATACCATTCAAATATGAATATCAAATTGCATGGATCTAGGTATATAACAAAGATTTTTTCCTTTCGTTCAGTATTTCACTCGGTCCCAGCGCCATATTGAGGCATCATCAGTAACTGCTAGGAGTGTACTGCCATCTAATGTGAAGGCTGTCTGACGAATGGCTGTAAAACACTTGTTATGACTCAGTACTGTACATCTGAAATTTCAAATCATTTTTAAATGTTATTAAATTTCTCAAGATGATACCATCACAAAGTAGGCACGGAAAGCCAAATAATGCGAGGATTTAATCTCAAGTCTCAGCAATATACCTTGGTACTGTTTGATTGGTTTGGTTTTAAATAAGCAAAATCAAAGAAAACAGTCCAACAAGCAACAGCCCTTAAAATATTAAAACATCAAAAACTGCCAAGTTGTGTTGAACTTAAAGACTTATATACATTTAAGTAATAGGTCTGAAAAGTGTGAATGCTGAAAAAAAACTAACACTGTAAAAGGTGCTAGATACAGTAATTAATGGTGAGGAGGGGTACTGTGTGTTATGATGAGGAGGGGTACTGTGTGTAATGATGAGGAGGATTACTGTGTGTAATGATGAGGAGGGGTACTGTGTGTAATGATGAGGAGGGGTACTGTGTGTAATGATGAGGAGGGGTGCTGTGTGTAATGATGAGGAGGGGTACTGTGTGTAATGATGAGGAGGGGTATTGTGTGTAATGATGAGGAGGGGTACTGTGTGTTATGATGAGGAGAATTACTGTGTATAATGATGAGGAGGATTACTGTGTGTTATGATGAGGAGGATTACTGTGTGTAATGATGAGGAGGATTACTGTTATAAGGAGGGGTACTGTGTGTAATGACTAGGAGAGTTACCTGGCTGCTGTAGGATCCTCAGTATCGATGTCCCACACATATATCCTCCCAACCTGGTTACCAAGGGCAATCACCTGTGCAAATAAACAAACATGCGATACCCATTACAACAACACCAAAAACATTTTGCTTGTGGTTTTGAAATAAACAGCTTTGATACACATGGGTTAGAAATTCTATATTGGGATCTCCCTCTCATACATAGAACACCATTGTACGAAACAATTTTGTACATTTGTACCAAGAACAAAAGAAACAACATGCATTTCAATGATCAATCTTAATTGCAAGGTATTAAGAGGTCATCAAACCTAGCTTGTATAGAATCAAATGTACTCTGTGATAACCTTATCCACTGAAAATCTCACATGAACCTATCAAACCATACATAGATAACATTCTTGTACTAATCAACTGACCTACAGCGATGCAGTCAGACCTGACCTCAGGCTGGTAAATTGTAACAATGTTTAGATAAATATAAAATCGTACTTGTATTTTAGTGTAACAGAAATTAATGTAACCTTGGTAAAATACTAGCCGCAATATACCACTCGGCTAGAGAGAACTTCTCTTTAGCTCGATTGGTTGAGCGTCAGACTAGTAAGCCAGGGGTCCCGGGTTCGATTCCTAGCGGAGGCATTGAAATGAAAAATGACCTCTGTTACATTAACACCAGACTTTCATTGTCATGTCAAATCATTTGTTAGTCATGGATTCACTAGTGTGGACACCTATTAAACAACACCATTAAATATACCAAATAGATCCAGAAGAACACATTATTCAGTCGGCTCGGAGCTGACTAATTAAGTATGGGTATGAATAAACTGACATCATATTTTGTTTACATTTGGTTTATCACTGTAGACATTATATAACACTTTTGATTACAGGATGCTACATATATTACCATATTAAGTAAAAAACATATTTACAAATAGTCTGCAGTAGCAGATAGCCTATAAGTGATCTAAAACCAGCAAAAATCACAGATAGCTCGAGGGCTCTACCCCATAAGTTACGATATTGTAATATACTCTTTGGTGTGTTACATTGGCAGCATCAGAGATCTACTCTGATGTTGTGATATGGACTATGACGTCATATCTGTCTCCATTTGAATTTATACTCCATATTTTTACTAAATGGAAAACCTGCCATAATGAAATTTTTCTGGTTTATGTGATAAACAGTATCTTAGACAAGTTAACTTTTTATATGAAATCTTACTTAACTTGCCTCAAAGATTTTATTTTTTGCTCACCAATACAAATGAAAGAGATTTGTTTCATAAAATTGGTCCTGCATATTACAAAGAAATGTAAGGATGCCTTTTCATCATGAAAAACAGATTCATTAAACATTCCATAAACATGGTCAGTGGGAGGAGCATTATGGGATCTCACCAAAATCTTGTTTCAAGTATTACTGTTATTTGATCTCTTGTTCTATCAAATAAGCTTAAATTGACATGTATATGTGACCGAAGTGCTATGAAGTCTCATTAAAATAGGTGTGTTCCTGATGACAAGTAAAATAGAATATGACCTTTGACCATGGTGTTTATTGTGGTACAGTAAAGTTTGGAAGGATCATGATTACTTAACATACCCCTAAGGAGTTTGCTACAGGTGTATTTGTATAAAGTTTCTACAATTTTTCTGGAATTCTATCAAATATGAAATTAGAATTTATAGATATGATAAAAATCATTCTGAATTAATTGAGACATAAAATTCTCTGAGGCTTGATTAAGTATCAGTATGTTAAAAGAAATATTCAGAACCACACTGTAAAAAAAGTGCAGTTTTCATCAATATGTGAACCTGTCTTTTTGTCCATAAATACATTACATATATGCAGTTTTCAGATATTATAGAGATATATATGGTTATTTGACAAAATTTGTATGGTGTAATTACATCTTCATCATCAGAACTCCATGTGCTGGGTTTAATTACTCTGAATTAATTCCGCGTTTTGACGATAAATATTGTGAAGTTATTTAAGCTAATAAGACTTTGTTGACCGTGGCTAGCTGAAACGTGATCCATCTGACTTACCCAGTCTGGTCATTAATGCTACAACAGGGAGACATGCATTGTAGAGGTGTAGCCAACACTGTCAAACTTATCAAACCAACCTCTGGTCAATCTTAATTGGCTAATCACTTTATCAGTATGCAAATTTATGCTGTGTGTTCACTTAGTACTGTAGAAGGCTGTTAAGGGTAGTGAATTAAATCTGACATTGTGTTGGTAACAGCTGGGGCAGTTGTTAATAGGTGTATTATACAGCATATTACCCCTGTTATTCCCCTAACACTGCTCAAACACTCCCTTCGCCAGACTCTCTACTTCCATACACACAATTATACATTATAATGATATGAGCTTCAATTTGGAATTAATTACTGGATGAAGATAATCTGAGGAAATGAAGTTTAGTACATATTTGTCTAAGGTTACGCCCCTTCTTACAAACTACAATACCTATTTTCAGAAAATTGTAGGGCTTTGCTGTGTGTGCATTCTGACAGTAACATGTCTTTGATAGTTTAGAAATTTGACAGTATAACCTTGACAACACAGATGCATTCAAATTCAAATTGCATTAATTCTAAATATTTTGCAAGGAACAGTGTTGCTACAATGATTAAGGGTCAACAGTTTTCGGTGGATTTCTGCTTGTGAAGGATACATATGTAACAATGGCAGGTAAGGACACTTGCATATGGATAGCATCATTGTTCATACTGATGATGACTCATATGACTTTCGGATACACATGTCATCCTGGCTGTGTCTGTACCCACAATTTCACCATGGTGACCTGTGCAAGACTACAGCTGCTAAATGTAAATAGTTTACCTCCACACACTAAAGATTTCAGCATCACTAAAAGTAATGTGGGACCTGTGTTCAACTATTCTCTCTCTTCCTTAGTTGAGTTAGAAGTTATAGATCTATCACTGAATAGCCTCACAGAAATATCAGGAGACGTCTTTCACCATCTTGGGCGCGTCAGAAGTCTCAGTTTCCGTGGAAACCGTCTTCATCGCCTGATGAATGATGTATTTCTTCACACAGCTAACTTACAAATCTTGGATCTCAGCCATAATAGTTTTTCTGTACTTCCTGATGTACCGTTCAGATTTCTACAAAACTTGAAAGTTCTAAATTTAAGCTTCAATCACTTTACAACTCCTGTTTTAGGACTGCGATTCCAAGTTATGACTAATATGGAGTTGCTAGATTTTACTGGAAACAATTTCCACACCATTCCCCAGAAAACTTTTGAAATGGCGCAAAACTGGAATGATGCAATACAAAAGACTCTGAACTTTTCTTTCTGTGGCATTCATAGTATTGAAGAAGGTGCATTTGACGACTTGAGAAAAATCAGGACACTTTTATTGACTGGAAATTATCATTTGACTTCTGAAAATCTCACTGCTTCATTCAATTCATCAGATTTTTCGAGCTTAGTTTCCCTGGATTTGTCTCGGATGAACCTTACAGACATTGGGAATATTCTTGTAGCACTTCAGGCATCTCCTCTAGCAGAACTTCACCTGTCTCACAACAAACTTATCACCATTCCTCAAACGTTATCCGACTACCATGCCAATCTGCAAGTTCTTCAAGCCCATCAGAATAAGATAACAGAAATCGGAACTTCACTAACTCAGATACTGACCCTGACTCATCTTGACCTTTCCTACAATGACATCGCTAATGTAGACTCAACGTTTGGTGAAAACCTCGTAAATCTACACACTTTAATTTTGTCAAACAATCAAATCAGTGACGGAATGGTTGTGGTTACAAATATGGCTTCTCTCAAGCATTTAGATCTCAGCAGTAATCAAATTACTAACTTTGGTATTCCGGATTCTCTTACAAATTTAGAAATCCTGTTTCTTGCAGGAAACCGCATAACTGACTTAAATCAGCTCATTGGCCTCAACAGTTTGTTGAAATTTGATATAAGTCGCAATCAACTTTCTGAACTGAAAGCATTTCTTTTTCCAGATTCTTCCAATATATATTTAGCAAACTTCAGTGGAAATGCCATTTCCAAAGCTGATCATCAAACATTTCGACGAAACACCCCCTGCATCGTAGATATATCACGTAATAGAATACAACAAATCTTCAATTTAGGATGGGAGGAAGTGGAGGAGGTTCATCTCCAGGGAAATCTCATATCAGAAATGGACAGGAACACATTTTATGGACTATATGCTGTTAAGTATTTGGATTTCAGTCATAACACACTGACAGGATTTGATGCGGATGGGTTTGTTTATTTGAGAAATTTGACTGAACTTAGAATGAGCAACAACGATCTCATGGATTCTGCCTCTTTACAAATCGCTTTGTCAGCGATGTCAAAGCTTGAAAAGCTAGACGTAAGTCACAATAATTATACAGTTTTCCCACCAGACATGCTAAAGAAAAACAAACATCTTCAAAGTTTGAAAGTAAATGATAATAAGGTGTTGACATTTCAGCCTGAACTTTTCAATCATTTGGTCCAACTGAAGGAAATTGACCTGTCCAACAATATTTTCCGCTGTGATTGCGCGTTACTAGATTTTCGAGACTGGTTGAGAAAAACCAAGGTTTTAGTGATACATCGAGTCAATACAAGCTACTCGTGTCAAGGGCCTACAGACAGAAAAGGTAGGTGGGTTGTGAATTACGAAGTTGGAAAGTTTGAATGCCACCAAACTCTCTTGTACATCATAATTTTCTCCTCCGTTGGAACTGTATTGATGTTGGTGATTGTCATAGGGATACTGGTATTCAAGGGTTATTACCAGTGGCGTAAAAAACTTAAATACGGTCAACGTCTTAACACCGTTGGATACAAATCGGTCAACGGTAATCATCTGGTTACGGATGAAAATAGCAAAACGAAGTATAACAAACCAAAAACTTACATGAATGGTGGACATCTATCGAAACAAATTTCAAGAGACAGTTTGGATTTTGAAGTTGAAAATTTGATGAGAAAAAGACAGAAAAATCAGAGATTGCTCAACGGCTACATGGGAATACCACTTGTAGGCCTAGCTAAGGAAAAAGAAGAGTCAAGAACCAAAAAGGCGAAAAATTCAAAATTGAAAAGGAACGCTAACAAAAAGAATAACCAAACTAAAGGAAAAAAGGGACAAGAAATGAACAAGACTAAAGGATTGTCAGAAAGGGAATTGTTAAAGGAAATTAGGTTCAAAAACATGAAGCGAGATGCAGCCCAGCGATACGCCCACAGAATGAGCCGTTACCATGAGGGACGGAATGACCTCATGGTAAGTCGTATGGTGCCGTACTTTTATGATAGACATGGCGTCCGACGCTCTACAGCAAACATGTTCATGAGGAGTCGCCAACCAGATATTCACGGTCATGGTGACGTCATCAGGTTACCCAGACCAGTTCCTAGGCCACGACATTCCCAAAGTGTACCAGACATGCATGGTTATGTCAATTCAATACCTCGTAGAAGATACCCTCTTACACCTGAAGTCCATGTTCTTAGTCGTCACCATCACAGGAATTTAGATCCAAATTCTCCAGACTTTCCTTTGTCTAGGCGTAGATATAGATCCCTTGGAAACCTTCAGCCTCTAGCAGAAACTCAAGGTCAAGAAAGATCTCACCATCAGAGTGAAACAGACTTGTATCGTAAGCGGGACAATATGTTTTTGCCAGCTCGCTATGACAATGTTAAATATCACACAATAAGTGCAAGGCCAAGGTCATCTAAAGGTCAATTTGGCAGTAGATCAGAATGGATATAAGAATTATTAGATGAAGTTTTGAAAGTACTAATGTAAAAGTATATTTAACACATTTCTTAAAATTTGGTACATGTGTACTGTAGTACAAATATTTACTTTATTTTTGGGAATTCACTTTTTGTGGTTAGGCGAGTAAACACTCGGGGAGTGCTAATTCTAACATCATCCTGTTTGTGTTCAGTGCTCTTAGTGACAACCTTAACACTGGCGATATTGACACTATACCATCTTAGAATATTGACACATGTGGATATTCTACAGGACCAGAGAAGGACGTCTATTTATTTTCTGAGAACAAAACAACTTGGTACAAATGTCTAAGTATTGCTCAGAAACATTGAAATAACATGCATATCAACCATTTTATACATGTGTAGAAGTGTAAACCACCTTCTGACTAAAAATCAGTGACTTTTCAAGATCATACGTACAGCTTTGGGTATATGGTGCATGAAAATATCTTAAAAGTCATAAAAATGCCAAAAATACGAAATTTCATATCTTCAGTGTAAACATCATAAAATAAGTGTATTTTATAACTATAAATGTATGATGCCATATGAATTTAATCTCATTATTTTTGTGTTCTCCCTTGTATTTTGAAACTAGGGGTAGAGTTAACCCCTAACAATATATTCATATAGGAGTCATTGAACGGGGTATATCAAACCAGAAGGTTCATCAATTTTGAGGGTTTTGTACCCTCATTCAGGGGTAAGAGGGATCATTGATATTCATTTAATGTTAGCTAGCATATATGTATACAGGCAATTAATGATCGAGACACTTGATAACAAATATCATTTCTTGTCAGTCTTGTATTTCTTTGTTATATAACATTGGTTTAACTTTGTATTTAACATACATAATTGAAGGATAAACAAATTGCTGACATTTACACACATATATATATATATATATATATATACACTGAATAGCACTACCAGTTAATATAAATTAACTAATCTTGTTCTATCAACTGTAAATTGATTTTTACCATATAAGGAAAAAACATTATTAATTCATAAGATAATTTCATTATTCTTAAGACTAAAAAATTCCACTGGTTTTCAACAATAGTCTTTAATCTATACAAAAATTAAATAACATTTTGCAGAACATTTATAAGTTTTAGTCTAGTAGAAAAAAAAATGTACAACTTTCGGAAGTATTTAAAATTTTTAAATAAATTTACTTCACAAGATTCTGAGTGTCTCCAGTATAAATAATTAGAAATCTGATTTAACAATGCATGCTTTATATTGACCACATTTATTCCACTATGAACAAATTTGAGAAGTTTTAAAAAATTATCATTTACTCCATTGTTATAATAATGATATAAAATGTATTTATGTATATAAAGTAATGAAACATATACAAAATGTATATAAATTTTCCATACAACACCCAAACCTCATTTTCTGTGTTGATTTAAATCAATATCTTCATCAGGTTCAAACTAATTACAAATTGTTTCCACTATCTTCGGTTATCTCCCCTAGTATGTGTGTTTTATCGGTCAACAAATCACGAAGGATTTTATAGTCACTGTGGAAATCCACAAAACTTTCTTGTAAATCTGTTATAAAAACATAAAGATTATGATATATCCAAACTTTTTGTGGGTCTGATAATGGAAACAATTGTTTTATTTGGCCTTGTCCTTCTGTATGTAATCATCTTTCTGTCAGTTTGTATCAATACTTCAACTGTCTTAAATTTTTGTCAATGTGTCCTTATATTTTTATTATTCACTGTAAATATTTTTTAGTATCGTGTATCAATTGTAAATGTGTAAGTGATTTCTTTTTTCTAAGCAACAAATAATATTATATAAAGCAAAAAGAACAGAGAAAAGATACAACAAATTTTGAGTTTGTAACAAAGACATTCATTTGCATTATGAGATTATTAAAAAAAAGATTAAAAAGTATTTAAAGTTTTTTTCTTATTTCAATACTTTAGCTTATTATGCCTTTTTTATTCTTTGCAACAGCAAAGAAAAAGGGAATTCATTCATGTGTGGTCCTTAGTTTGCTAATTAGATGAAATGGTGTATTTATTTGTAAAATCTGACGATCACTTAATCATTAAAAGGAGGGTAAAATCAAAATGATGGAAATAAAACCAAATATGAAGTAAAGATGAAGACAGGTGCGGGCAGGGCAAACACAATGTCCCTGTCCTTCACTGTAGCGGGGATATCTTTAAACAGAAAATTTAGTAAATCTATAATGGCGGTGTATTAAACACCTATCAAATTAATTATGGTGTTATCTTCTGTCAGCGTGCCTTTAGGTCTAAATAAAGGACTCTGGTATCTCTAAGGTAGTATCCATATTTATACATTAATGTATACAACACCACACCCCTTCATTAGTGAATGGGTTAATATAATCCTTGTCATTCACCAAGAGATATCTCTGCAGAAAATGTCAGCTATTTTAACAATATTATCTTAATTTGATAAGGAGTTTTACTAAAAAATATCCCAGAATTTTCAGAATATCTATCCCCGAACAAGCTGTGGCCTACATGATCAGTAATGTTTACCTGATATAGACAAAGTGTCAAGGACACTGGTAAACGCTGTGTATGATAGGTATTCAAAGAAATAAAAGAAGTGGTGTGTCAGTAAACAATGGACAGCTATAGGCCGAATTCAGCCAGCAGCTAGGAGCTGTGTTTTTCATTACTCCTGCCAATTACATCTGTATATATTAATTATATGCATCAAAATCCAAGAAGATCTAAATATTTTCATTTTTAAGTAAAAATATAAACCAATTACACCTTTAATTTCCAAATATGTTCAACAACAACTACACAATTGGTTTCATTTCAACAGAAAAGAGTTGATAAATCCTTGTTTGCGATTGTACATGTGCGACGTTAACACAATGATGTATAGCGTATATTCCATGTACAAGACTGATACATTTTGTATAACATGAAACAAGGGAAAAAAAACATAAAGGCCTATAAACTGTTCATGCTATTTTAACATGCTCTTCAAGACATACTGCAAATTCATAATTAGACCTATAAGCTTATAACAAAACAACACGTAATACGCCAACCACATTTTATCTCTTTAAGTAATGTATCTTTCATTTCTTGTCCATGCTTATAAACAGAGTTTAAGCTTTTTGGCAGAATTCATTGTTAAAAAGTCTAATTCTACACTAGTCAGTGTTGTTTTGTACTTATTTTCATAAAGTGTTCTGATGAAGCATCACCAAAGATGCAAAATCGGTCAACCACCACTATGTAGTGAACAGATACACGAATCGGCTGTGGTGTGTTAAGATTGTATCCTACCCTATCTTATTCTCTGCATACAACTGCTTTGCATAACTACGGTATCCATACCGACAGCAGGGACGTATAATACGTATTATACATCCCTGCCGACAGCTAGGATCTTACGAAGAACCTCTTGGCATAACGGCATTGGTTCCAAAATTCTTATTTTATTTTAGTTTTCATAAACATGTCAATTAATTTATTGTTATCTTATAATTTTTAAAAAGTGGAAAATATTTCAAACCTCTACAAGATGAATCATGTATGAAATGAGACATCGTGGTATCAGACTTAAATATTGATAGGAAGTCTGTGGTGGTTGGCCTACTGAAAATGAAACTTCCTGTTTCAGAATGATGTCAGAAATCAGTTACCCTTTTAAATATGTATGATCAACACTGATATCTTAAAGAATAATAAAAATATTTAAACATCTCTTTAGTTATGTGGTGGTATTAAGACCATATCGCACAATATCTTGAGTATAAGAAACTTGGAGTCTAAGGACAAATGGAAATAAATTGAAAAGTGTCAACGATACAATTTGTCTTCCAAACAGAGAAGAAGAGTAGTAATGCCTGTATACATAGTAAAAAGCTGTCATTTAACATATGACATCTTATAACGTTCTGCATTTCCATTTTTGTCTATTTATATTATATACATGTTTTTATAAAATAAAAGTATAAACTACCTCCCGAACTAATTTCAAACCACATTTTATATCCGTTCCACAGGAACGTATGTGTTATTTGGTCTCATTGCAGTGTAAAATTTGGTCAAGCTAGCTAACAGCTGATCCAGGTAATGGCTATAGATGCCAAGCATCTGTAAAGCTACTTTAGATCCATGCTTTTTTTTCTTTCTTTTTTTTTTTAATCTTCTAGACACAATAATTTGGGTGTGTTACAGTATCAACACTTTTATGCGAGGAATTTAATTTTTTTCGTTACATATGCTGTCACTTAAGATGGCACAAAACTAATACCAAGGAATGTTTACACAATGAACCAGTTACCTGGTAAATGCCTGTTAACATCGATACTACCTTATCAACATGCTGTGAAATTTAATCCCTGCAAACCAGCCTAAATCAATAACACAGCCAAATTAAACAACCGTAATGTACTGTGGTTTGTGGGAGATTGGGACCCTGTCAAGAAAATGATATGATGACAAAGCAAGAATTTATTGATATCACATCAACAGTGCCACACACTGAGATAAAGATAAACCAGATATTAAGCTACTAAGCTAATATTGATAATATGTTTAAACATAGCATTGCATAATATCTACACACATCTTTAAAGCACCTGTTCATTCTTGATTTTGAAAGACTGTGACCAGATATATGATCATGGCATGCTTACAAAACACAAATAAAGGGAGACCACTCCTCCATCCCAAAATAATTTGGGTAAAACCGATAGTTAAACACTAGTTAAAAGAAAACAAAAAGCATATTTTGAAAGACTGTGACCAGATATATGATCATGGCAGGCTTAAAAAACTCAAATAAAGGGAGACCACTCCTCCATCCCAAAATAATTTGGGTAAAACCGATAGTTAAACACTAGTTAAAAGAAAACAAAGAGCATATTTTGAAAGACTGTGACCAGATATATGATCATGGCAGGCTTCCAAAACTCAAATAAAGGGAGACCACTCCTCCATCCCAAAATAATTTGGGTAAAACTGATAGTTAAACACTAGTTAAAAGAAAACAAAGAGAATAATCTCTCCAAGAGGGCAAAAGGAAGACTTTTGACAATACTGGGCCCAGGTGTGATTAAGTTGTTCCTGTACATGCCGAACCTCTGATGATCATGGCACCCCTATCATTGATGAAATCTCATAATGTTCTGTTTGCCATTAAAAACTAGGACACAAGACTTCTGTTTATTTTTTTCAATCCATAATAATGATTGACCAATCTTTACCTCACTGTCCAGGAGGGTGACCCTAGCATGACAGTGTGTAGTATAATCGTGTATTGTGCAGGATTGTGGACTATTTACAGACATGTAGGGTGTGTAGACAATGCTGGACAATGTGTGAATGGTATCTTTGATGCATTGTACTAAAGACTCAAAACTGAATCACTTCTATTCATGATACAGTTTCCTAAGCAAATTACCAATTATATTCTGTGGATTGTATCCCTATACAAAAGTTGGGAGTCCCTGGGCCCTAATTTAAACAGTGGATTGAGTACGGGAGTTCTTTTGAGTAGGTCATGTTTATGTAAACTAGATTTTATTTTAGACATTTAGCAAATGTATCACACTGATTTTAAACAATATTTACCTTCTGCCAGTAGTCGATACCAAATCTCATGTACCATATGTCACAGTCCCGATAATCAAACCGATGTACCACCGTCACTTTATTTTCTTTGGATTTGAGAGTAGTATCGGTGTCGCACAGTTGTCCTGGCTTCCAGCAGATAATACAATTCTCACATGACTGAAAATATATAAAACAGTTACAGAAAACAGTTTCAATTAGAAAACAAAACAGCCAATGTTTATTAGTCCAAGGGAGATAATCGACTTAAAATTTCAAGCTGTCAACCCCTATGAATTTCTCTTAAGGTTTGTGATTTGAAAGGAGCATTCACACAACCTATATGATGCCCAGTCTGTTGCTACCTTACCTTAGACAAAACAAATCTTCCGAGCCATCGTACACAATCCACGTAATTTCTATGGACATCTCGTGTAGAAAAATCAGGAAAATGCTGGAAAACTGTATTAAATTTTCTAAAATATAAATATGAATAAAACTGTGATCAATCAGGTCTCTGCCATAGAATGGTGGTTCTAGCTTTGTTGAAATGGTTGCAAAGTATTATATTTGGCACATGATTATGGTGATTACATACAAAAAAAACCTTTCATGAAGGGGATATTTCAACTAAGTGTGGAATGTATATGGTGCCAAACCAAACCTATATCTTAAACAATCTTGCTGGATACTCTGAAACCATTCCATTGAAACACATAGGTATTTGACGGTACCATATCAGAGGACTGCAGGTTTGTCTCATGTGAACCAAAAGGAGAGGTTCTTATGCAAGTTTCATTTCACATAAGATAATAAAACAAGTCTTAGAACTTTTCAGTTTAAAGAGCCTTTGGCAAGTTAAATTGAAATATTTGACAAGTTTCATAAATCTTACATGAAATGGTAAGAAATGCAAGATTCCATTTATCACATAGCAGCCAATAGTAGCTCTGCCAGGTAATACTACATTTGTGCAAATAACAAAAAATATGTTATTACACTGATAACAAGGTAGCTATGTGATTAAAGAAATTTAATTCAAAGTTCAAACAATTCTTTTCCTCAAGCAATCACCATTTATTGAAGTTTTCGGTCTGTAGAGACCTCCGGAAGGACAGATGTAATGTTAGACAGAATCTTGTCAGAAACAGAAGAATTCTGTAGGTGATCCAGACAGAATCTTGTCAGAAACATTTAATTGGTAATTAAAAGATCCAAGTCTAAGACATATACAGACATATCAAAATAAACGTTTTACAAATATTTTCAAATCTTAGAAGAATTCTGTAGGTGATCCATAAAGAACTATTAGACTTACGTTTTTCCTTGGACAAAGTTGTAAGATTCCTTGAGAGCAGTTTGGATGGATTCATGGTCAGTCTTCCACATCTTTAATGAATGGTCCATTCCACAAGACACAATAATGGAACCGTCCATGTTGAAGTCCTGTGAAGTACATTTAATTGGTAATTAAAAGATCCAAGTCTAAGACATATACACACACATCAAAATAAACAATATCAAAGATCACAGACGTATCTTGTTTAAAAATATTTTCTAATTCTAACACAAATCATTAGGCCATAAACTCAGCTGTCATTATGATCCACTGTCACAATCTAATTTGAAATTTAATATTAAATCATTTTCAATGCAAACCCTGAGAAAATTAACACAATTAATTTCCAATTTCTCACAATCATTACAAGGGTATATGTCATATGGAATGATCTTAAGCATGAAAAAATAATATTATTGATAAAAATGATAATTAAATCAGAATCATATGTCAGGGATGTCCATCTACTTACAGCACTAAGTACTTCATCTCTATGTCCATCTACTTACAGCACTAAGTACTTCATCTCTATGTCCATCTACTTACAGCACTAAGTACTTCATCTCTATGTCCATCTACTTACAGCACTAAGTACTTCATCTCTATGTCCATCTACTTACAGCACTAAGTACTTCATCTCTATGTCCATCTACTTACAGCACTAAGTACTTCCTATGTCCATCTACTTACAGCACTAAGTACTTCATCTCTATGTCCATCTACTTACAGCACTAAGTACTTCGTATGTCCATCTACTTACAGCACTAAGTACTTCATCTCTATGTCCATCTACTTACAGCACTAAGTACTTCATCTCTATGTCCATCTACTTACAGCACTAAGTACTTCCTATGTCCATCTACTTACAGCACTAAGTACTTCATCTCTATGTCCAGCTACTTACAGCACTAAGTACTTCATCTCTATGTCCATCTACTTACAGCACTAAGTACTTCATCTCTATGTCCATCTACTTACAGCATTAAGTACTTCATCTCTATGTCCATCTACTTACAGCACTAAGTACTTCATCTCTATGTCCATCTACTTACAGCACTAAGTACTTCATCTCTATGTCCATGTACTTACAGCACTAAGTACTTCATCTCTATGTCCATCTACTCACAGCACTAAGTAGTTCATCTCTATGTCCATCTACTTACAGCACTGAGTACTTCATCTCTATGTCCATCTACTCACAGCACTAAGTACTTCATCTCTATGTCCATCTACTCACAGCACTAAGTAGTTCATCTCTATGTCCATCTACTTACAGCACTAAGTACTTCATCTCTATGTCCATCTACTTACAGCACTAAGTACTTCCTATGTCCATCTACTTACAGCACTAAGTACTTCCTATGTCCATCTACTTACAGCACTAAGTACTTCATCTCTATGTCCATCTACTTACAGCACTAAGTACTTCATCTCTATGTCCATCTACTTACAGCACTAAGTACTTCATCTCTATGTCCATCTACTTACAGCACTAAGTACTTCATCTCTATGTCCATGTACTTACAGCACTAAGTACTTCATCTCTATGTCCATCTACTTACAGCACTAAGTACTTCATCTCTATGTCCATCTACTTACAGCACTAAGTACTTCATCTCTATGTCCATCTACTTACAGCACTAAGTACTTCATCTCTATGTCCATCTACTCCCCCAAATATCACCACATTGACATCCGTCTTCAGGTTCCAAATCCGTAATGTATGATCTGAAGTAAAGTTAAAGCATTAATGGTAAACTCCTGATGGGTAGCTCTCAAAATTACCACCTGATGTAGATTCACACCTGTCTGTACTGTCAGAAAGGTAGACACTATAGGCAGTTGTCCTTTATATCATACCACCACGAAAAACTGTTTTTCTTTTTTTAAATTCACTTTTATATCTTAAAGAAAAAATCTGTGCATAATTAAAATTGTACAAAATAAAAATGCATTTTCTTTATTTTAAGGTGGATGTAACACACCTTGATGAGGTCTGAGATTTGAAGTTAAATTCAAATGCTAGGGAAAGGCTTTTTAGGGATTCAAAGAGACAATTAACAGTTACTGTCCTTTTGTCTTTTATATAGTAAGCACAAAGCATGATGAACAAAGTGAGACAAAAAGACTATTGAAAAAACTAGCACGGGGAGTTAAGTCACAAACACAATGAACTGTTGTTATAGACTAACCTTTTGATACAGACATCAGCATATTGGGGTCCCTGGGGTGAACTTTGAGCTCATTGATGGCATTTCCATGACCTTTGTAATACTATAATAAAAACAATCACAATTTATTTTCATTTCGTATCCATTTCAAAAAAATATTTTTCATATTCAATCACATCAACTAACACTTTTGATAAAAACAATATGTTTCTCTTGTACTAGTAATATTTCAAACCAAAAAAATGGCTGACAGCTCTGAAGCATTTAACAGTGACAAAAGAATAAAAAAATTGAAGAAACAATGCTTCAGAAATTTAAATTTTACAGTTGTGCCAGTTCCTCTGGCATAAAGATGACAATAGTGCAGACCATCTTTTAAGAGAAAAATATTTTCAATGATCTGTCTTTTTCATTAACTTGGCATATCCTCTTGAGCCTCCTTGGCAAAAGATTCTGTATAGTGATACTGAAAGAATAATCTTTTCAATGATTTTTCAATAATTGTGCTCTTCCCCCATCAGGGCACTGGTGGGTCAGTGTATCTTCCATTCATTTAAACTTCTTGCTTTTTTGTGGCCAGGTGATCTAGCTGAATATCATATATAAATCTCAGCTCCTTCCACAAAATATTCAATGCTGTCATGTTACCAAACTATCACACCAGTAAATTCAGTTTTCCCTACCTAAACCCATGTATGATTTTGTTAGAATGTCTACATACCTTGATACATGACATTGTAACAGGACTGATGATACGGATGATTCCTTTGAGACCCGCTGCTGCTAGAAGTGGCTGTCCTGTAGTCGACTCAAATGTCCAGGTACAGCAGTAGAAATTTTCCTCACTGTCCACACACTTACTATGTTAAAGAAGACAACTTGCTATCCTATGTGCATGTACAAATGAAACATCTAGAAATGTTCCTCTTTCATCACAGGGTTTTAGCTTTTTAAATATAAGAGGCTGTTCTCTCAAGTTGAGTCTTAATTTGGCTTTATCTCCCCTTGATTTGAAACTTTGGAATCAGATATATTCAGTTCAAGAAATCAAAATTTTCAGTTGCTTCTATTTTTTCTATATGAATTCCAGATTCTAGTTACAGGGTTGCCTCTACAATACATAGGTGCTTGTTTAAGATTCTGATGCATAGCTAAAATATATAATTATCACAACGACCAAATATTACAAAGCTTCAAGGTATTAGGATATATAAGAAATCAGCTGTGTATGGTAAATTCAAGTCATTAAAGTAAATCTCAAAACACACAGACAATTACTCTGATAGTCAAAAAAAGATTTGCTGAAGTGACAAACTAGCTGGGGAAGGGGAGAAAAAGGATACAGGAGGGTCCATGTAGGCTTGTAGTAAGTTGATCTTTCCTCCCTCTAAACACTCGTACAATGTTACCTGTTTACACACAGCAAATATTTGGGCAACATTACTCAAACATTAATCAATTGTAAACATGTACCTAGCAAACAACTATAGACATTTACAGGTGTTTTATTTCAAAAGGTGTAGTGATTTAATAACTTAACGAGATCTGAAATAAGTACGAAACAATTAATACAATGTATTTGGTATAACATTTATACAAGGCAACCACTTAGAGATATGTGAAGCTGAAGTTTTCTGCATACAGGGAGTTTGGCTAATTCTGTATCCCATCGTCAACTTCTGGGGTATTATTAGTAAACTTTAGAAACATAATTTTTATACTGCAGTGTAGAAATAGTTTAATAATATTCCTACTTCACTAGTTTTTGTTCGGTTTTGAAAGATGGGTAAAAGTTTGTTTACAACATTAAATACACTGAAACTACAGAATTTCTTGGTGACAATAGCAATTATTGATATAAGTCACTTACCCTGTTTGATCCAACTGTTGCAAAAAGTATTGGGTCTCCTTCCTTCGTAAACTGGTTAATATGAAGTCCAAACAGAGGTTGTCCATGGTCTTCCTGAAATTTTTTGCAAACCATTGTAAATATCAAATCATTTAAGTATCTTGGTTATCATTTCATACTTGTAACATGAAAACTAACTTAAAGCATTTTGGTCTAAATTTGAAATGAGAAATTGTATATGACAAAAAATTAATATTGTCTTTGATATCAACATAAAACACACTGGTTATAAGGAATAATTTTGAGTGTAACCTTTTTGGATAAAGCATTTTGGTCTAAATTTGAAATGAGAAATTGTATATGACAAAAAATTAATATTGTCTTTGATATCAACATATTATGTAACACACTGGTTATAAGGAATGATGCAGAATATAATTTTGAGTGTAACCTTTTTGAATAAAGCATTTTGGTCTAAATTTGAAATGAGAAATTGTATATGACAAAAAATTAATATTGTCTTTAATATCAACATATTATGTAACACACTGGTTATAAGGAATGATGCAGAATCTAATTTTGAGTGTAACCTTTTTGGATTAGAACTGTGAAGATTCAACCACAAAAATATAGAAAAATAGAAGATAATTACATGTTAATGTGCAAAAGTAATTGATACATAAGAATGTACGATACAGCAAGTCCATGGATGGTAACTAATGCATCTATCAAAAACATTTACAAAACTTCAAGCCTCAGAAAAGCAGGGTTTTCCATAATTTTGTTAGTAGTAGGCTGTGTAGTGAAAGTAGGAGGCTGGCCTGCTGTGTATGTGTAGTTGTGTACAGAACATTATTACGGAACTGGATTGGTGTAGGCGGCCAAATGATCAAAGTAGTCGGTCAAATTGGCCGGCGACCGGCTTTTATGGAAAACCCTGGAAAAGGACATTAAATGTTGAGACAAAGCTACCTCTACCCCTCAGAACAGTTATTTTCTTAATTACTTTTAAGCTGCACTAAAAAAGATTTTTTAAATTTGGAAAAGTTAAGGAGATTCTTGCATTGATAAACTTTTTGTTTAAAAATTGGGAATCTCAATCATAAAGAAAGAGATTTGGCAGCATTTATGTTTAATACAAACTAATTTTGCTTTTACCTTGATAAAATTTGTACATTTATATTGAAGTTTACATCGCTTATTTTTATTTTTCCCACGTCCAAATCGTCGCTGTGTTGGAGGAGTTTCACTACGGATGGAGGAGTCTTCCATAATGGTACTGGCTGTACTGGAGATATCATCCTGTAGGAAATAAAACAGGTTCCTGAATGAAAACAACATGTATAGGTACCAACAATATTAACTGACATCAGTTAATGATTTGTAGACCCCACCTTGCAGTACACCAAAGATGAGTTCATATGTACTAGGTATGGGGCTATATGTTAATTTTACATGTGAAATATTGATATATTACATTAATACCCATGTAGATAATAATCAATGCACATCACATTTTATTCAAGCGACTATTCATAGAATATTAATCAACAGTCGACACTTAATACAATGTACAAGTACTTCATACTCATAAAGATCTGTTCTCAAAATACCCATATTGCACAACCTACCCAGTGAACTTCAATAATAACCATCAAGAAACCTCCATATTTTATTAACACAATCTTATAAGGAAAAACAACACAAGTAACAGAGGGGGACCATTTCCTTAGTTTTGCGGGCAACTTTGTTGCATCAAATTCTAGAGCACAAGAAAGGATTTTATTCTCAGGGCTGAGAGAGTATGTTAGATTTGTATTATATCTTTTAAAATGAGATAATAACTTAGATGCATTTTGTATTTGAACTGTTGAATGATGTGTAACAACAATCATTTTGCTAAAATGAGACAAAAGATACCTTAGGTTTTCATACTGTACAATTTAGATGCCAAAGATCCCTGTATTTATTTCACACAGCAGTCAATTCCACAGAGCGAGGTCCACCAAAAATATTTTATGCCAGCATTACCTTAAAACTGGCCTTATCATTAAATTCTATTTGTAAAAATAATTAGCAAATCCAATTGATATATTTTTCTCTCTTTTTTTCCATTGAATTTTAAGATATGACAGGATTTTGATATTGTGGTATGGCACCATTTCAATATTTCTTTATCATATTGTTCTTTTGCCTTTTAAATGTACTCAATAATCAGCATGGTGCAGTCCGGGCCTAGACCGAGAAATATCTGACTCTAACATTATAATTTAATGTCAATATTCACATTTATTATGCTGTTATTGATATTTACATTTTAATGACTATGCTCATTTTAGAAACACTTGCTACATTTTATATATTCACGCAGGTCTTTGAAATATTGAGAAATTTGTATATCATAAAAGATATGGGTACTTTAAATGTACTATAGAAAGGCAGTTCTTTTTCTACAGTGATTCGTAATTTGAAGCCAGAATTTCAAACACTAATCATTTGTATTACGAAGTCTAATCGGTACATCGCGAATAAGAAACGCGGGTCATTTTGGGTACTGTTCCGATTTTGGTCCTGTGACGTTACATCAGTAATCCGATTAGCGGAATATTATTTTTTAAAATCACAACAAAAGAATATATATAACAGATCAATACGAATCAACTGCCGGCAATCACTGCCATTCAGAGAACACGTGTGATATAATTATGATACATATATGCAGTATACTGTTTCTTCTTATATACCTGTTCGTCACCGGAGACATCTGTATACGTAGGAACTACCAATCGCGAACGTTTCTCTCTCTGTAAAACAGGCATGTCTACATTAGTGTCCGCAGACATCTTGTCTTCTCTTTGTTTTGATCACGTGCTAGTCATGTGACATTACTTTTATGGCGGGAACATGATAGCTTCAGACCTTATGTTCGACACTCAGCTTTGACGAAAATTAATAACTAAATAAAAAATTAATAAAGATGGGATGTACTATTGTTTTTAAACAATTCACTTCTTCACTTATTATTGTCGAATCAAAAGGGAAAATAATAACGACGATATAGTGATAATAAATATATTTTGTCTTGAAACACATATTTAATGATAATAATTCATACAGAAGATATGTATAATGTAACCTGGTTAATTCACATCGGAGTGTATCTTAGAGAAAATCACTTACACTCAGACATGTATGAGAGGTGTCGGGGAATTGTTTTTCACCCCTATTTACGAGTAGTGGATCTGGGCAGTGTCCTGGTAGAGGCATTTGAAAGCGAAGTCCTTCCCCATCCTGGAACTAATGGTTTTTAGGGAATTAACATGCACAATACGACTGGTCTTTGAATGGGAAACAAGTTTAATGATGTTATTGTACATGACCGTTTCTAGCTATTTGGCTGTTGTCACTATTGTACAATGTACATGCAGGTAAAGTTATTTATTTTGGATTTGTGGATATCAAATGTTATAGGAGAATAAACACATTTTTTACAACATTCATATGCTTCATTTCAAAAGTACAAATTGAAATATTTACTGACGACCCAAGTTTTTAAAAAAGAAAACATAGAAACAATGCATTTAAGGCTCTGTAAATTAAATTCACGAATTCGTTCTCAAATAATCTGTTTTGAAATGTCTAAATATAACTAGATATGATAAAACGTTACCAGTGGGTTGGCGCATAGCTAGAATAGTGGCTTGCGCATCATAATCAAATACCCATAACTCCATCTGTTGTCAATCAAAGACGTCACAATTAGCTGACGTCATTTTCATTGTATCACAGCGATTTCTCCACACAAGGCAGTGGACTGACAAACTGATAAGTTGGCAAGTTGTATTTCCCTATCTTACTAAATGTAATTTATGCAAATTACTTATAAAACACACATATATCTCGGTATTAGATATGGGTGAATGAAAATAGCAGAGAGAGAGAGAGAGAGAGAGAGAGAGAGAGAGAGAGGGGGGGGGGAGAGAGATTCAATTATGTGCTGAAAGCTGCATATTGTCTCATCAATGCTATGCGGTGAACATTTTTTGGAACTGGTACGATTTGCCATTCATTAATGCTTTATTAGTAAACAATACGGAAATTAAGGGCTAAGACCTATGGCTCAAGTCAGATCTTCTTAGACAGACACACCAACAATAAATCTACAAATTGAGAAATCGATATATTCTCTTTTGATAGAACATTTATGAACGTTCCACGGAGACATCTCAATTCGATGGTATTTTAAAGTCTAATGGAAGTTTTTCTGGTGATTGATAATTTGTTCTCCCATGCTTTCCAATAAATGTTATGCGCCATAATACTGTGAGTCAAAATTGATGACGTAATCCATTGTGATATGGTTACGCTACAAAAGGTAATGACGTAGGGCTTTTGTGAGTAGCGAAGTTTTATGATCAAAACGCATGTGCTCACTAGCTACTTTAATAACTCGCCTAATTATTACATGCATTTTTTTAGACTGGTTCATGTCAAAATAAGATCCATATAGTTATAAAAAGATAATAGGAATTTCTCTGATTGCTATTACCTGGCATTTATCGGAAACAATTTGTAAATCCTGAGTCCCTCTATTTCAGATTTTTGGTTATACGATCTGGTTATATTGAATTTACGTCATGACTCAGCGACGTCACATTGTAGTAGATCCACAGGTTTGTTGTCTTTGCGATCAATATGAAATTATTACATCATATACTAAAATTTTCTTGTGTTGTAAATAGAATTTCGTCATTTGACTACTTGTAATTTGCTCGTAACAAGAAACGGCATTGTGGAATTTGGTGACAACTCTTAACACGGAATGGCATTATGAAAGTTGATGATGGTTTTTACCATGGAAATTGCATTGCGATTTATGAAACCACAATTATAAATATATTTTTCCAGATTTTGACAATAAGAAAAGCCTCAAGGAAAAGTAACATTAAAAAGTGAAAAAAAGGTTGTGTTGAATGATTTATAAGCATTAAGATGAAAGTTTTGCATTAATTGTGGAGTCATATTTTGGTAACAGGGATAACATTGATTAAACTACTTTGTAGTATGAGAAAATAGTGTAAATATAATTCTGGCGAATCCATCAATTGATAATTAGTATGTTTCTTGCTTGTAGGACCTTGCAGATGTTGCCAGTCTGAATGGTACAGAAGGGTGCCCAGCACCACTGTTGGGAAGGTGTCTTTTAGGGTGTTACTACTTTTTCCGTCCGAGTAAGAGACCATTTGTCTACGAGATTGACCCAACATTATTTGTGGAACCCGTTTGGACTAGCACCCGATCGACTGACGTTCAAACAGACGACGAAGTGGTAATCGACACATTAGTGGAATCTAGGCCACTGCGACTCATGTCTTCAGTATTCTCCAGCACCCTGGCGCCCTCTATCAGTCAATCAAGGACTGTCCAACTACCAGGACAGCTACCGGACAAGATGGAATCTCCAGTTCCAGTAACAGCAAGTTTAGAGAAAGGTGTGGATGGAGCAGAGGAACTAACCGACGTGAGGACAGCCGATGGAGACGGCGACAAACAACAATCGGTTAAAAATACCTCGGATGTGTCCGTATATCGATATGAATGGTTCCGATTCATTCTTGGATGGACCACTGTGTAATTACAACGTTTACGATAATGATGGTAGCTTTTTCAGTACCACAAATTTACTTGCAATTAAAATGGAATGTTTGAATTTTATCCATGCTTTACCAGCAGGCTACTTTACTGGTAGTCAATAAAGGATTGAAATTGAGAAAAAAGAAAGTTTTTTTTGTCATTGAGGTAGTTGTTTACATTTAAAATATCGAATAAATCACAAAAGTCACATTCCTTCTCAGAGTAGAGAGTTGGGCATACGACCCATTTTTTATGTTACCTTTATTGAAAAATATCTGAAATAATTAATTTTATTTTAAATATCTTATTTATACATTGTATGATATGACGTCAATAAAATTGCGTAATACTTTTACTGATAACACTTTCAAATGCTGAAAGTGAACGATGGATAAGCAGTGTTTCAGATTGGGCCCGACCATCGGCCAATGGCCGAAAAAAATGAAAATGGCCGAAAAAAATGAATTTGGGACATATAGGCCCGGAGTATTTCAGGTTTGCAGACTAAATGGCCGATAAATTTTCCATTGAATAAGACATCTGACGATAAATTTCAGCAATTAATCGGTTCGTCATAATACTCTCATTCAAGGCCTAACGAATACAGTTCGACTGGATTCTGACTATCTATTCTCTGAATGCATGTCGTGGAAGCGCTTCTTAATCTTTCACTCGTAACACCTCGCCTAGCCCTTCCAACGTAGTTTCTAAAGAAAACAATGAACAGTATTCCGAACGTTTCTATCGCTCAGACACTTTAAATAAAAACAACATGGCGCCGAAGAAACGAAAGTACATTGAAGAGGGCCAAAAAACGTTATTTTCTTGCGGTGTTTCTAGACCAACAACGGAACAGGACGAAACAATTATAATTGCCAAACAAGAAGAAAACAAGAAAAAACGACAGCCAGAAAATTTCAGCCAAAATGGTTACAACAATTTAAATGGCTGATGTACTCTACTACTGTGACTGTCTTGTGCATAAAAATAAATGTTTATCGTTTGACTGTGGCCTCAATGTTTTTTGTTCTTTCGGACAAAATGGCCTTAAAAAATTTCAGTCTTTAGGACATCTGTCCTAAAGAAAGCTGGGTAAATCTGAATCACTGATAAGTCATGTGTTTGAGAGGATAAATTGAATGGTAAAATTACATTGTCATCACATAATCCAGCTCAGCCGAGGCTAAGTGTTCTACCGGTATGCTTCCGAATTTGTCACAGATTTACCTCTGTTTTTTCTCTCTAAAACCATGAAACATTGTCCGAGTTATTCTGATGTCAGCGATCGATTTTTTTTATATCGTTCTGAAGTCGATGAACATTTTATATTTGATCGAATATGATTAGAATAAGCAGTGTCAATAATAAATGTAAATATCAATAACAGCATAATAAATGTGAATATTGACATTAAATTATCATGAAAGAGACAGAAATGTTTTGATCTCATTCGACCGAACTACGTGTCCTGTCTGTAATACTTGCTTGTTTAATTAAAATATATTGATGCACATTAATAAATCCTGTTATTTCATACTTGTATAATCCATGAAGTAATATTAGGAACAACATTGGTGTATGACCCATGGAAAAAAAATGAAAAGTACATGTAGTTAGAAGAACGATATGTACAACAGCCCGAGCACCGACGTCTGGTCGAACTTCTGTTGAAGTCGTGTTGTACAATTCCCAGAGAAAACAGATCAATAGAATTCGATGAAATGAGCCATCCAAATGTTTCACTTTCAGTTTCGGAAACTTTCTGAAACCTTCTGAAACCCCTCGCTGTTTTTCTAAAAACCCTATATAGGTCACATACAAGAGGACACTGCGGTTTTCTGTAAACAGTTGTTACACTTGTACTTGACCTTTCGAGATTATTCAAATATTTACATATACCGACCGCTCTAGTTTTAAGGTTTATAAATAGTTTGCCGCTACCAGAGACAACAGTTCAGATTAAAATGGAATGTGAATAACCATGTTGTTTTTGTTCAATAAGTATTTCTGAATTTATTTACTAACTTATAAATGCTTTACGTATGTGAAATGTGACATGTATATCTGGCTTGTTTTTCGCATTCTTTTTGTTCTAAAGGGTCCATGGTGTTTTCCCTTTCATTTTGGTTTCTTTTCAGTCCATTCAAGTTCTTCATGCTGTCTTTCCCGTACTTTCCTGTTGTCTTTTCATTTTGTCGATGTTATTTAT